ATGTATATTCTGTTGATTTGGGGTGGAGAGTTCTATAGATGTCTATTAGGGCTGCTTGGTCCAGAGATGAGTTCAAGTCCTGAATATCCTTGCTAATTTTCTGTCTCATTGATCTGTCTAATATTGACAGTGGGGTGTTAAAATCTCCCACTATTATTGTATGGGAGTCTAAGTCTCTTTGTAGGTCTCTAAGAATTTGCTTTATGAATCTGGTGCTCCTGTATTGGGTGCATATATATTTAAGATAGTTAGCTCTTCTTGTTGCATTGATCCCTTTACCATTATGTAATATCCGTCTTTGTGTTTTTTTATCTTTGTTGGTTTAAAGTCTGTTTTATCAAAGACTAGGATTGCAACCCTGCTTCTTTTTACTTTCCATTTGCTTGGTAAATATTCCTCCATCCATTTATTTTGAGCCTATGTGTGTCTTTGCATATAAGATGGGTCTCCTGAATACAGCACACCGATGGGTCTTGATTCTTTATCCAATTTGCCAGTTTGTATCTTTTAATTGGGGCATTAATTAGCCCATTTACATTTAAGGTTAATATTGTCATGTGTGAATTTGATCCTTTCATTATGATGCTAACTGGCTATTTTGCCCATTAGTTGATGCAGTTTCTTCATAGTGTCAATGGTCTTTACAATTTGGTATGTTTTTGCAGTGGTTGGTACTGGTTTTTCCTTTCCATATTTAGTGGTTCCTTCGGGAGCTCTTGTAAGGTAGGCCTGGTGGTGACAAAATGTCTCAGCATTTGCCTGTCTGTAAAGGATTTTATTTCTCCTTCGCTTATGAAGCTTAGTTTGGCTGGATATGAAATTTTGCATTGAAAATTCTTTTCTTTAAGCAAGTTGAATATTGGCCCCCACTCTCTTCTGGTGTGTAGGGTTTCTGCAGAGAGATCCACTGTTAGTCTGATGAGCTTTCCTTTGTGGGTAACCCAACCTTTCTCTCTGGCTGCCCTTAACATTTTTTTCCTTCATTCCAACCTTGGTGAATCTGATGATTATATGTCTTGGGGTTGCTCTTCTTGAGGAGTATCTTTGTGGTGTTCCCTGTATTTCCTGAATTTGAATATTGGCCTGTCTTGCTAAGTTGGGGAAGTTCTCCTGGATAATATCCTGAAGAGTGTTTTCCAACTTGGTTCCATTCTCCCTGTCACTTTCAGGTACATCAATCAAATGTAGGTTTGGTCTTTTCACATAGTACCATATTTGTTGGAGGCCCTGTTCATTCCTTTTCATTCTTTTTCTCTAATCTTGTTTTCCCGCTTTATTTCATTAAATTGATCTTCAATCTCTGATATCCTTTCTTCTGCTTGGTCGATTCGGCTATTGATACTTGTGTATGCTTCACAAAGTTCTCATGCTATGTTTTTCAGCTCCATCAGGTCATTTATGTTCTTCTTTAAACTGGTTATTCTAGTTAGCAATTCCTCTAACTTTTTTCAAGGTTCTTAGCTTCCTCGTATAGGGTTAGAACATGTTCCTTTAGCTTGGAGGAGTTTGTTATTACCCACCTTCTGAAGCCTACTTCTGTCAAATTACCAAACTCATTCTCCATCCAGTTTTGTTCCCTTGATGGTGAGGAGTTGTGATCTTTTGGAGGAGAAAAGGTGTTCTGGTTTTTGGAATTTTCAGTCTTTTTGTGCTGTTTTTTCCTCATCTTTGTGGATTTATCTACCTTTGGTCTTTCACGTTGGTGACCTTTGGATGAAGTTTTTGTGTGGATGTCTTTTTTGTTGATATTGATGCTATTCCTTTCTGTTTGTTAGTTTTCCTTTTAATAGTCAGGCCCCTCTGCTGCAGGTCTGCTGGAGTTTGCTGGAGGTCCACTCCAGACTCTGTTTGCTTGGGTATCACCAGCAGAGGCTGCAGAACAGCAAAGACTGCTGCCTGTTCCTTCCTCTGGAAGCTTTGTCCCAGAGGGGCACCTGCCAGATACCAGCCAGAGCTCTCCTGTGTGAAATGTCTATCGACCACTGCTGGGAGGTGTCTCCCAGTAAGGAGGCACAGGGGTCAGGGACCCACTTGAGGAGCCAGTCTGTCCCTCAGCAGAGCTCAAGTGCTGTGCTAGGAGATCTGCTGCTCTCTTCAGAGCCGGCAGGCAAGAACATTTAAGCCTGCTGAAGCTGCCCCCACAGCCGCCCCTTTCTCCAGGTGCTCTATTCCAGAGAAATGGGCATTGTATCTATAAGCCCCTGACTGGGGCTGCTGCCTTTCTTTGAGACATGCCCTGCCCAGAGTGGAGGAATCTGGAGAGAAAGTCTGGCTATAGCGGCTTTGTGGAGCTTCAGTGGGCTCTGCTTGGTTCAAACTTGCCAGTGGCTTTGTTTACACTGTGAGCGGAAAATCATCTACTCAAGCCTCAGTAATGGCAGACGCCCCTCCCCTCAACAAGCTCCAGTGTCCCAGGTCGACTTCAGACTGCTGTGCTGGCAGCGAGAATTGCAAGTCAGTGGATCTTAGCTTGTTGGGCTCCGTGGGAGTGGGATCCACTGAGCTAGACCACTTGGCTTCCCGGCTTCAGCCCCCTTTCCAGGGGAGTGAACAGTTCTGTCTCACTGGCATTCCAGGAGCCACTGGGGTATGAAAAACAAACTCCTGCAGCTATCTCAGTGTCTGCCTAAACGGCCGCCCAGTTTTGTGCTTGAAACCCAGGGCTCTGGTGGCGTAGGCACCTGAGGGACTCTCCTGGTCTGTGGGTTGCGAAAACCATGGGACAAGCATAGTATCTGGGCTGGAATGCACTGTTCCTCACAGCACAGTCCCTCATGGTTTCCCTTGGCTAGGGGAGGGAGTTCCCCAACCCCTCACACTTCCCAGGTAAGGTGACGCCCCCACCCTGCTTCAGCTCACCCTCTGTGGGCTGCACGCACTGTCTAACCAGTCCCAGTGAGATAAGCTGGGTACCTCAGTTGGAAATGCAGAAATCACCTGCCTTCTGCGTTGATCTTGCTGGGAGCTGCAGGCTGGAGCTGTTCCTATTTGGCCATCTTGCCCAGGACCCACAGCATGTTTTTGTTTTGTTTTGTTTTGTTTTAATTGAGATGGAGTCTTGTTCTGTTGCCCAGGCTGGAGTGTAGTGGCATATCGGCTTACTGCAACCTCTGCCTCCTAGGTTCAAGCAGTTCTCCTGCCTCACCCTCCTGAGTAGCTGGGATTACAGGTGCCTGCCACTATGCCTGGCTAATTTTTTTATTTTTAGTAGAGATGGGGTTTTGCCATGTTGGCCAGGCTGGTCTTGAACTCATGAACCCAAGTGATCTGCCCATCTCGGCCTCCCAAAGTGTTGGGATTACAAGTGTGAGCCACCAAGCCCAGCCTCTAAATGGTATTAAAGGTGAATTTATTATTTTAAAATATGTTATTTGCAACTACCCGTCTTTCCCACAAAACATCATCTGTTAAGGTGGCTAGAAATAAGAACCTAAGTGAATTAGAACTACTTTCTGAAAACTCATTGAAGATCTCTGTGTCAATTGGAGCTATTCAGGTACATGACTAGAACTGGAAATCCCTGGCCTGTTTGAACTTTGAAAGTACTACATTTTAGAGATGAGAGAGACATGTTTTTATAATGTTCTACATTTCTGCACCCGAGTGCTGATATGGGTGAATAGACAATTGGCTTTTCCTATAGGAACCTGGCTGCCCGAGTCAGCAACATCTGCTCTCTGGAGCCTACTGGGAGGCTGGGGGTGGGGGACAGATGGTCTAGGCCTCTGAGTGGGGCAGCAGAGCCTGGGGGCTGGGAGTGGTGAAAATCAGCCACATTGAACATATGGGTGTCTTCTCAAGGAAGTGTGACATATGCGAGAGAAAATGGAGGCTAGAAGGGATGAGGAAGAGGTGATCAGGGGAGTGAGGGCTTCTTTGGGGCCAAGGTTCCCTGACTAAGGTTAGTCAGGGTGGGCCTGCGTTTCCCCACCCCAAATGCCCGCAATACTCCTACAGAAACTCTTAGGAAATTCAGCACTTCACTATACACTGCTTCCACTGTAAAGTTCTGCCACGTAAGCAGCTTTGGGTCCCGGCTAGACTGGAGATAATCAGTAAGGAACCCTAATGCTACCAACACAAGACAACTAAGAAAAGTGCAAATATTCATCAAAATCGTTGCCAACTGTTTTGTAATCCTCACCACAATCCTGCAAGGTGGACATCAGCGTCCTCACCACTTTTCAGACAGGGAAACAAAGGCTCAGAAAGGAAAGAGTACCTGGTTGGAATCAGCACTGAAGCTTCAGCTACCTGCTTGCAGAGATGTGCTCATCTAGCAGTTTCTAGGAGACTGGGCTAGCGGCAGTGCCTGCTCTGATAAGGGAGGAGGAGGGGAGAGGCTTGCTGTGGTGGCTTGCAGGCTGTGTGTGTGTGTATTTGTGGGGTCATTTCCAGGGCTACATGTGAGTTTAAGTGTGTGTATACGGGTTGAGATATGGTGTACATGGATATTTGTCGGTCAGTTCTTGGAATGTGTGTATATGAGTGTGTGTTGAGTGGGGTTGGGAGGTTAGTCCCTGAGCCATGTGAATATGTGGGTTGGGGCGCTTGTGAGGGCAAAAGGGCTTGAATTTTGTGCATGATTGTGTGTGTGTGTGTGTGTGTGTGTGTGTGTGTGAGTTTAAGATTCCAAGTATGTGGGCGTTGGGGGGGAGGGGACGGTGTTGGAGATCAATCCCTGGGCCGTGTGTTTATAGTGTGTGTGTCTGCCCAGAAGAGTGGGTCACTGGGCTGTGCGCCTCTGTGTAGAGTGTGAGTGTGTGTATGAGGGTGAATGTGTGTTGGAGGTGTCATTCCCTGGACCGTGTGCAAGAGTGTGACCGCGCACGCCTCCGTGTGTGTCTCGGGTGTGTGGGATCGGGGTGGTGACGAGTTGAGGGGGACGCCGGTCGAGCCCCGCCCTCCGCTGCAGGTGGGCCGGGCCCGCGGCGGGGCCGGTAGCGCTCGCTGCTCTTGGCTCGCGGCCGCGCCGGGCTCGCAGGGCTGGGCTCGGGCTGCGGGGCGGTGCCGGGACAGGAAGCGGAAAGCAGCAGTGCAGCGGCGGCGGCGGGGCTCTGCCTCTCCAGGAGCCCAGCGCAGGCCGCAGAGCCGGGGCCGCTGTGAGCCGAGACCGCGGGCCGCGGAGCCCGGGCGGCCAGCGCGGAGGTGAGTCCCGCGAGAGGCCAAGCGCTGTGCGGCGGCGGCCCCCGGGGCAGACCTTTGCCTGGGAGACGCCCCCACCCCGGACCCCGCGTGCCCCTGCGCCCTCCTCCCGCACTCGCCCCGCCGGACTTCGACCCCGGGTCGCCGGCTCCCGCCTCGGCCGGGAGCTCCCTCCCCTCCTCCGGAGCGCTCCGGGTCGTGCTTGCTCTGACTCCACTCTTCTAGCCATGCGTTGCGCCCCTCCTGGCCCTGCCGTGCGATCTCCGCCGCACCCCACTCCCTGGGGTCGCGGGATTGCCTGCTCACGCCTCGGACGCCCCTTTCTCCCCTGGTTGGTCTTTGGGGTGCGCCCCTTCGGTGCGCGTGCCTGGGCGGCGGGCAGGCCGGCAGGGAGTGGCCGAGCAGCAGGCACCGGGCGGCTGCAGCAGCCGTGCAGGGCGGGAGCCGGGCGCCCACCGGGGTTCCCACCCCTGGCGGGGCTCGACCCGGGCACCGCCTGGCCCTTCGCCAGGAAACGGGACAGAGCTGGTCTGTGTGCACACCTCGCTCACAAAAAATTGAGCCGGCCCTGGAGGCCTGGGGGGCGAGTCCGGTTGCGCCTTGGAGAGCGCAACAGGCAGGTAGGAGTTTACTTTCAAAAACGCCGGGGTGGAGCAGAGGCGCCCAGCGGGTCTCTGCCCAAGGTGTCCCTGCTGGAGGAAATCTCACCGCGCCGGGGCAGCCTTCGCCACCGGCAGGACCTCATTTCCTTCTGCAGTCTTTGAACTGCCCCAAGCATCGCGCCTAGAGAAGTGTGAAGCTTTATAAAAATTTAAACGCGTCCGTGGTGGCGGCAGGAGTGGGGCGGAGCCGCGGCCTGGCTGCTGGGTGATGAGCAGATGAGACTTGGAGCCGAGAAATCTGTTGCTCAGTTTTCACTTCTCCAAACCAGGTCTAATGCCCACACTGCGAAGGTGTTGTGAGCTCCCTTAGATGCTCGTTAGGAAGTATTAGAGCACCTTATGATGATGATTGTGTGAGAGGCCCGTGCATTTTGTTAAAACTCTTGACCTGGCTTTGGTTAGAAATGAATGTATTCTTAGGCACTTAGTCCAAAAGCTAACAAACTGTAACGAACTGGTATTTTCACTGACATGTTTATAAATTTTGCGGGGTTGCTGAAAAATATTATAACTTGTATCACCAAACAACAATGTTAATTAGCATTCTCCCTTCAGTGGGTGGGTTGAGTACACAGCTCCCAGGCACTGCAAGTGAGATGGCAGAAATTGTCTGAATACAGGGAGAGGTAATTAGCCATTTTCTGTAACCACTAATTATAGAGTTTTTAGAGTTGAATTAAATCAATGTGATATAGTTGGGGCTTTGATTTGTGGGAGGAAACTGTTTCTTTTTCCAGTTCAAAGAAATAACACGCTTCACCTATCCATGAGCATTAAACATTCCCAAACGTTGATGTCTCTCAGTATAATTAGTGAAAACACTTAAGTGTGAAATTTCACTGTCAACAATGTTGGCAGTGAGGCTTGCTTGCAACTTAATTTGTAAGTAAAATGGGAGAAGAATTTTGAGAGTGTTATATTTGTAAGGACTGCTTGCCAAGCAGTACATTTTTTATTGTCTTATGTATTAAGCAACATAAGGACAAAACCATAAAGGAAATTTAAAGTTTCTTTACCAAGCAACAATTCCATGTCACCCTTTGTTTGAAGGATAAATGCGTTGAATGAAGAAGGCATTCTCCCCTTCATCATCCCCTTAACACACATATATACACACACCGTGCTTGCTACCCTAGGCCTTATCAGCAATTTGGGTGGGATGGGCCCTTGTCATATTGTGTTTTAATTGGAGGTCTCCACATTGGGGCTGTGAGCTGCTTAGGAGTTAGAACTATTTTAGATTCATTTCTTTTCTCCTGAATGCCCCACAATGCTTGGGACACTGAACCTGTGAGTAGAAGTTGAAATTGCAAAATTCTCTGTGGGGTTATATGTGGTTTGGGACAATTTATGATTGTTGCTTATACTCCTCTATATAAACAAACAATTCTAGTAATTGCTACAGTGCTGTCAATTGTCTGTAGCTAAGAGCACAGGTTCTGGAGTTAGACTCTCAACATTCAAGCCCTGGCTCATGTGTCAATCTGGTTTCCCTGACTAACATGATATTAATGTTTTATTTTCCTTAAAGGCTTGTTATGAGGATTAAGTGAGATATTACATGTAAGTGACTTTAAACAGCATCTAACACATAGTAAACACTTGACAACTAGAAACTGTTAGAGTATTACCATCATCTCTGTAAAGTCAGCTAGCTGGTTGGGGTCTCGCTATATAGGGCGTGTGATTTGGGCATCCTGCTATTCTATTTTCCTTAAGATGGAAAAGGTTAGGTGGGCTTGTGATTGGACCACGTTTCTGTTAGCAGTATTGGTTTGATGTTAGCAGTACTAAAGTTTGATGCAAGGATACATGTGTGTTCTGTTGTCTTTAGCAGTGTCCTTCTGAATCCCACTTAGAGAACAGCAGTGACTAGACTCTGTACCATCAGATTTACAGAGGAGATGGTACTCATGAGATCTATCTTTCTGAAGTTTAAATATCTGGCAGGGGACAAGGGAGTCACTTGCCTTCAAATATACATCACATAACTCCAGACATGTTACTTCACGGCTCTTCAGAAATCTGTACCCAGTTGCTGGAGGTGTTTTGGGGGTAGTTCATCACTGGAGCTGAGAGAAGTTATTCTGGCAAGGTGAGTGGAAGTCATTGGCCAAACAAGTAAAACGAAGTTAACGTTTTCTTTCCTTGTAAATAATGACCCAGAATCATTCATTTGTAAGCTGTTGTAATAAAAGAATCAATGGGTTTGTCACAAATGCCATCAGCCCAGCAAGATCCTCACATCAGTGACCTGCATGATATTTGATGGTTTATAGACCGCAAGTTCAAAATGTTTTATAGATCTGCCCTGCACCTCTGCCCACTCCTTTCCAGGCCCATGCCCCTCCAAATAAACCCACTAAAACACACACAGTTTTCTCTGGTCTCTCTGACATTTGCTTCCAACCTGGGGATGGTAAATAGAGGCCTGTAAGAAACAGAATAGAAATCACTTGTTACTTAGCTATAGTTAATAGTAGTAGTTAAAGGTGGTAGCAGAGACCAGAAAAATGTGTATAAGTTCAGTGAAAATGATACAGAAGTTTTATGCCGTACAAGCCCTTCAGTTCTTCCTAACTGAAGGAATTTTACTCTAGTGAATACTAGTAGTAGTTGATAGTTGTGAGTGCCTACCATGTGCTAGGCACTGTTCTAGTAATTTGTATGAATTATCTTATTTAATGCCCACCACAGATCTATAAGTAAAATAAAATCTGTTGTTACAGTTAGGGAAACTGAGGCAGAGAGCAGTTAAGTAACTTGCTCTGAGGTCACACAGTAAGTACTAGAGCCAGGATTCGAATGCTCTTAACCCACAATCTGGGCTCATTGCTACTCTCTAGAAGAATAGTTGACTCTAAACAAAATTATTCCAATTGTCACTTTCCCCTTGAGTGCCATTTAATTAAAAATGGGTACCCCTAAGAAGAATGTTAGCTTCAAGACAAAATATAAATAATAATTAATAGCATAATCTCTGCAGAAATCTATATAAAAATCAAGTATTCAACGTAATGTACACAGCATATATAAGCATGGTTGTACCAGACAGCACTTTTCCTTGGAAGTAGATCTACTTACTGCATAGGAAGCAAAATGTCTCTTTAAATTCAGTGCATGTCTCTGTACCCCTTACATAGTAACCTTCCAAACCAGAGCTCCCTTAATTACTTAATAGCTCTAGGCAGAGCTGTTGATGTTTTTATAATTTCCTTTTTGCGAAGGTTAGCGTGTGTTTACCACTGTCATTATCATAACGTATTATTTCCTTCATACGATTTGCTAAACACTGTGTTTTCGTTTTAAAAAGTAGGATTTTTATATGAGTGAACATGACCTTAGGAGAGAATTCTGTTTGAGGCTGCTTATCTTCATTTTGCTTTTGATAAAGGGTGGTAAAGGAGGTTCTCTCTGACATTTTTGCCTAGGAAGTCCAGAATTGAAGACACTGCCACTCAGAAGCACCCTGTGCACCTATCTCCCCGTGCTGACCTTGCCTGCATGCAATGTGGTTCGATGAGCCTGGCCCTGCCCTGATACTTGCCTCCAGCCACTACCCAAGCAGTGCCAAGCAGTGCACTCTTAAGGGGTGGGTGACAGGTGAGGCGAGATGCTCTTGGGCAGTGGCTGAAAGAGGCTGCTGCTGATTTTTACTCAGTGTGTCTGGAGTATGAACTCTGCCCCTGAGTGGGACTGCCATGCAAGCCAGTAGTATAGCTCTATTTTTGATAGTTCTGGTATCATGGCTCTATCTAATATCTGCATCTTTTTTTTTTTTTTTTCACCTCTAAAACTAAGGATTTAAAATAGATAATTTCTAAAGTTTCTTCCACAATGAATCTATGGCCTCGTGTCCTAAGATCTGCCACAAAACCCTTCATTCAGCAGACGTTTGTAGGGTACCCATAATGTCCTAGGAGCTGGAAAGACAGTCATGAAAGTGCCTCTGCCCTCATGGAGCTTACAGCCTGTAAAGGAACTAGACAATAAGTGCTCACACAAACAAATGTATCACTGGAAGTTGGATAGAAAGGAAGAGTACAGGGTGCTGGAAAAGAGCCTGATTGAGATTGAAGGATCAGGAAAGGCCTCTTGAAAGGAGCAGTATTTAAATTAGGGAGTGATGAGTAGGAATTTAGCAAAACAGAGCATGTAAAGGGTGAGTACCAACAGATATACTGGGCTCTGCCAAAGCCCTAAGACTACCTTAAAGGAGCTGGGGCTAGAGAAGGAGGAGGGAGCTAGCGCACTGGGCAGGACATTGCATACCAAATGAAAGATTTTTGTATTTTATTTAAAGTGCAGTGGGACACCATGGAAAGGTTTTAAACAGGGAAGTGATGTCTGCATTGTAATTTAAAAGGTCACTCTGGTTGCTGCCCAGCCTGGGCCAAACACAATATGAGTCATATGAGGGGTCACTGTGATAGACAGTTCTAGGTTCTAGGAGCCATATTCCCACCTTTATATGACTGTCCCATTCATGCTGTTGTGACAGTCTATCAGTTTATTACCCTGGGAACCTGATTCCTTTTCATTGCTTTATTATCTTTTCTGATAAGGGATTCCTTCTGACCTTATCATGAGTTTTGTTAATTTATTGTGTATGCAAGGGAACTATTGCATAGATATATCATTGCAGTGATAAGCTTCAGGATATCCTTTTCTATTAAGTCTGTTGAAAATCCAAAGTCGAGTTCACTTTGGATTTTATTCAGTTTGCCTCTTACTGCATCCTTTTAATCCTCACTCAGATCTTGGATAGGATAAGAGTTGGTAACTATTAGAAACGGTATGACTTACAAGGGGCCTGAGCTGTGTGTAGACTGATGAGGACACCTGGAGGCTTTGTAGTGGTCTAGCCCTGTGTAGGTGGAGCCTGGAGGAAGTGGGTGGCTGTGAATCAGTAGAGGGAGGGGAGGATCAGAGAGGGTGTTGAAGGTGGCACAGGGTTGGATCCATAGGATGAGGGTATTGCTTTAGCTGAGGAATTGGGAAGAACAGGACAGGATACCGGAGAGCACCTTTGAGAGGGATGATGGTATTCCCAAGGGGAACAAGAAGAATCTCAGTAGGAAATGTGCACTTGGGATTTAGTCTTTCAGTAAGTATTTGTTGGGTATCTGTTATGTTCAAAATATCCTGGGTGGAGGTAAGGCATAGCTGCTATATTCAAGGAGCTTCTGCCATAGGAAATCTGTGGATGGAGAAGAATGAGAAGAGTTTTGAATGTGAAGGGATAAGGTGGTGAGGGGAGAGGAGAGGGAGTGTTAGAGGAGAAGTAGTAACATAAGTGGCATCAAATTGGAGGCTAGCGAGCTACAGAGAAACTCTACTAGGGCAAGCAGTGTGCCTTTGTCATTGCTGTGCCCTAGTGTTGCTTAGCATGGTCATGTAGATGCCACTTAATATGGAGGTGGATGGACTAATAAATGAAATAAAAAGCACTGGGGGAGGAGGACAAGGATGTTACTTGGCTCACAGCAATCCTTGGCCAACTTTGAGTTGTTTCAGTGGAGTGTTGTGGATGGGGATTTGGAGTGACAGTGGAGAAGGAGGGAGTGACAGCATGTATAGACCGCTCCTTTGGTAAGTACAGGAAGGAACTGTGGGAGGGAAACCGGACTAGGGTGGTTGGTAGAGTTAGATAAAGCCTTTCCCTGGAGGGCATTTGGGATCCATGGTTTCCTTTGAGGGACAGGTCTGGAGTTGTCTTAATGAATGGCCACAAGTTTTCAATGAGGACAAGGAATGAAGTCCTCTGGCAGAGGGGGAAGGGAATAAAACTTGGGTTACCATGTGCCAGAGACTTTACCTTTGCAGTTTCGTTTAATCCTCGCAAGAACCCTGGGAAGAGAGAATATTAAATGACCTCATTTTATGGGGCGGGGTTGGACAAGCTCAGAGAGGCAAACATCTGCCCCCTGATGTCACAGCTAGGAAGCACCGAGCTGGGTCTGCCCAGATCTGCGGGGCCTGGGCCGCCAGCCTGTGAGACACTCCAGCAGCATTTAGCAAAAAGTAGCTGGAAGTTGGGATGGATTGGGGAATCCAGAGTTATGGGATGCAAGGCAGAAAGAGTGTAGGAGTTGTGAAGGGTTAATTATGAATCTAGAAGAGAGAGGGAAATCAGTGTTCTGGGCCAGGGAACTGGACATTAGAATCTGCAGATCAGCAGAGAGCTGGGTGAGGGGCTTTCAGGGAGGATCTCAATTCACTCAGGGCTGGAGATCTTCGATGCACATCCTAATGTTGACGGCTGCCTGTTATGAAGCAGGTGAGAAAACAGCAAAGCCCAGGGCAGAAAGGAAGTGAGACTGAGGTGCTGAAAGCTGATTGAAATTGCTAGTGAAAATGGTGGAGACAGTAGGCAGAAAAAAAGATGACTCAGCTCTTGAAGTCTTCTAGGAAAGTAGGGTAAGTGGAGGAGCAAAACTTAGCATTTAAAAAAGGCCTGCTGTGTTTGTTTTCACATTTAATCTTTACAGCTACCTCCCCCACCAAACGCCCACCATAATAGGCTGCCTTGCTTCCTTTTTATGGATTGGGAAATCTCTGAGGCTCCAAGGAGAAATTGCTTTGCCCAGGTGTACAGCTAGTTAGTAGGCAGCGGACTGAGATGTGAGCTCCATTCTGTCTGACTGCAGGTGAGCCCATAGGTGAGCTTTGTGGCAGGAAGGCTGGCACAGAGACTGTTATCTGCTCTGCTTCTTTCCAAGCATTTCTCTCATTAGGAAGACAGAGGAACAAGGGTTTCGGAACCCGCAAAGGGAGTACTGATAGACACGGACTTTCATTTACCTAACACATCTGGAGCTCGTGCTGGGTGCCTTCAAAGTTGTTAGCTCATTTGGTCTTAACAGCAACCCTGATGTTTGCATTTTACAGTTACATGTTCAAAGAGGTTTGCTCATTTTGACTGGGGCCTGATAGCTAATAAGTGAGTAAAACCCGAGATTGGAACCCACCTCTGGAAACTGTATCTGCTTATATTTTCAGATCAACCTGTGAGGTTGCTGGCTGGTTGGTTTACCCTGTTTAACAGATGAGGAAACTGAGGCATAAGAAAGACAGTGGCTGGGCTCAGACTAGAACTCAGGTTTCTCCAGGGCTAGCCTTGGGCTCTTGATAGCAGAGGAGAAGTGAAATGGCAAGTAAGGGCATCAGGGACAAAGGAGACTGGCCCTGGGTGGCAGATCTTGGAAGTCAATGTACCTGACTCCCAGGAAGAATGAATGGTAAGGGTAAATACACCCTAAGTGGGATGGGAGGCTGTGGGGGCTGTATTGGAGGTATATGGCAATTTGTGCTGACCTGATTCCCTCCAGACTTACGTGTCATTGCTGGGGTCAGGGAAACGTGGCCTCCTCCCAGGAGGGTTAGGGTATGGCATTTACAGCTCCTTTGTTTTTTCTTCACACTTATCTCACTGGCTGTGTTTGCAGTTTCAGCTTCCAGCGCTGGAAGAAGGAACCCTGTTGAGCTGAGACTAGCTCTGGGGTGAGGGGTGCAGAGAGAGACAGAACTTGTGGATCTCGGTTTTCTCGAAGTAAAAAGTTTAGCATGTGGGAGTTCAGGAATGTACTTGGAAATGTTTCCAATTTATTTTTATTGCAAAGCGATATCTAATGAAAATGTGGGAAAAGACCCAGGAGCCTGCAAATAATACATTGCCTGCTTTTATTTTCTGTGTCTCCTTTAAAAATCTTTGTCCTTACCAAGGCAATTTTATATGATTGTAACTGTAATGTTGGTGCACTGTGTATCAACCATACTGTATCCTGCTTTTAAAATTTATCATTATAAGAGTTTCCATTCTTTATAATGATCATTTTAAACATATGTGATACTTTTTTGGTGGATGAACCATGTTTTCCTTACCAATTCCTGTATTCTGAGGGCATTTAGATTGTTCCTGGCATTTTATTATTTATAGACAATGAGACAACAATAATTTTTCTTTGAAAAAGAAATCAGTTCCCTAAGGTAAATTCTTAGAAATTTGGATGCTAGATCAAAAAGATTGAAGATTTTTTTTTCAATTGCCTTTTGGAAATTATGACCGAATCCCTTAAAAGCAACTTCGCTGAGTATTGTTTTTATAACCAGCAAACTGGCAGTTGGGGGCTGGGCATTGTGTGGAGGGCCAGAGATGTGGAAAGTCACCTCCTAAAGCCAGTGAGCAGGCGTCAGGCCATGCTGAGGAAGTGGATGTGTGCCTCCCGTTTTCCTGCTGCTGTGATAGGGGTTTAGCTTGCTTAGCACCTATCCTGTCTCCCTCCCAGACACCTGGGAAAGCCGGTTGCTGCATGGGTGGAGCATTTAGAGTTCAGCTGCTTCACCCTCGCTTGCTTGTTCCATGATAGAGACCCCAGAGAGGAGATGTGGCTTTGTCATTTATCTTTCAGCCCCATTAAGGTTGGCTTTGAAGATTAATGTCTTGTTTTTTTCCCTCTTTCCCAGAATTTGTTCCTGTTGAAGAGTGCCTGCTCGTCTAATTTCCAGACTCCTTGAGGTTTTAGGAGTCTGGTAGGTGAAATTCTCTACCTCTAAGGAGAAACAGTACCTGCTCCTTCCTTCCTCAAGGGCAAGTCCTCCATTGCTATGGATACCGAATCCACTTATTCTGGATATTCTTACTATTCAAGTCATTCGAAAAAATCTCACAGACAAGGGTATGTAAGTTGTTCATTATTCCACTTTTCCTTTTGGGGAAACCTACAGGTTGGTGAGGTTCTCTACAGTCACTTTTCACTGACTCGGCGCTGGAGCTCAGGTCCGTTGGTGCGTGAGAAGCTGAGCTTTAAGAGCATTTCACATTCTCGGGAGTAACTATGCCACCAGTTTACATTTTATAGCCACCATTAGAGTTGATGACTTTAATTTCTCACAACTGGTTTTAAATTAAAGTTGCTTCCTGCAGTGGAAATGTTTTTCATTTCTAGGTATTTTTTTTTTTTGAGACAGAATCTCAGAATCTCGCTCTGTGGCCCAGGCTGGAGTGCAGTGGCGCGATCTCAGCTCACTGCAAGCTCCACCTCCCGGGTTCATGCCATTCTTCTGCCTCGGCCTCCCGAGTAGCTGGGATTACAGGCTCCCGCTACCACACCGGGCTAATTTTGTATTTTTAGTAGAGACGGGGTTTCACCTTGTTAGCCAGGATAGTCTCGATCTCCTGACCTCGTGATCCTCCTGCCTCGGTTTCTAGGTATTTTTTATAGGTATCAGCTCTCCTGAAAGCTTTATGAAGAATGTAAATGGAAGATTTAAAAAGTGTTCATTGCTTGTTGGTTTTCACCCGAAGTTGTTGACTCATTGTCCATTATGCCTTTGTCATGAGGCTTATTTAGTGAACTGGTAGGATTGGCCTGGTACCTTATTTCTCTTTGACTAATCTTCAGGTGAACAAATTTGGGTTTTGAAAACACTGTCCTGGGCGGTATTGGTCAAACTCCCCCTTCTCTGCAAAATTAGCAGGTATGCACTGGTATTCTTAGGACCTGCTGTGTGACTGACCTGTAGAATGTTTGCTAAGTAGAAGAGCAAATGAATGAATAAAGAAATCAGTGAACAGCTAGGTGGGACTGTACCAGTTAGAATTGTACTTGGTGAAATTGCAGTGCTGCCATTTACTTAGCGTCCTCATCTGTGAAATGGGTACAGCAGTCCTCTCCTACAGGGCTGTTGAGAGGATTAAATGAGATTATGCTTGTAAAGCATGTAATGCAGTACAGGTTGGAAGTCACCCACCAGTGGCTAGATTAATACTGTAATGGCCTTGGCATTTTAGCGCTATGTTCCAAGGTACCGACTGGCCCCACCCCAAAGGCCCAGCTCTGCACTGGCTTGGGAATAGTGATTGTAGTGGTTTTTCCCTGACTGAGCTCTTCCCCATACAAGCAGCCGAATACAGAGTGAGATTTTGTTCTGTAAAACAGCTGTGAGCTACACATATCTAATGATTTACAAGCCCATCTGGATTACTCACATAGAAAAAGGTTTGGGAGGGTATACTCCAAACTGCTAGGAGTGGTCATCCACAGGGGGAGGCTCGGCAGAAGCTGGAGACTAATGGGAACTTTCCTTTTTCTTTTCGTACTTGTTCAGTTTTTTTTACAAGTGTATATTTTGTAATTTTTAGAAATGAATGGAACAGAATATGAAGGAAAGGTGCTCAAAGATATTTGATGACGTGAGAAAATGTTCATGAGACCATGTTATAAGAAACAGGATTCAAAATGTTGTATGCTATAATAGTTACATATACATATGATGAGTATTCACATGGTGACTGTGCCTGTCTCTGAGTACAGGACTATGGTGGTATTTTCTTTTTAACTTTAATTGTTTTCTAAATTTTAATGTATTGCTCTTATAAAAATTTGAGGAAAGCATGTCAGTGAGCTTGTGCTGGAGTCCAGGTAAGGCTTTCAAATAAGGATGAGAAACAGAAGGAGCTCGGGGCAGGTGCTGCTGGACGGGGCCTGTGGTAACATGGCAGAGCCCAGCTCCTGAGACAGTCAGAAGCCCTCTGGCCACAAGAATTAAATCACACATTTCAGCTGGTGGGTAAACTTATCAGATTAATTATGAAATGCCAGAAACAGCTGTTTTAAAATACTAGTTTTTTAGCCCTACCAATTCCCTTGTCAATACCAGGCTTCCCTCATCCACACCACAATGACAGAAGTAGGAATTTGGGATTCCCTGGGTGCTTGGGGGTGAATAAAGGAGGTTGGCTTGCAGTATCCTTTGTGGGAACCATCTCTGGCCTCTTTTGTCTACACTCGAGTTCTGACTTTCACGCTTTGGGGCCCATTGCTATGCTCTGCTATTTCCTTAGGCCTCTTGGGGCCTCCAGAAGTTGATATTCCAATGCCCTTGTAGTAACTTTAAGAGACTGTAACTTCCAATTAAAACAACAGGCAGAATTTTTAATGTATTCTTGGACCCATATGGAAAGTACTTGGCAAATGTTAATACAGGCTGAGACTTTTAATCAATTATTCAAAAAATGTTCCTGGATATCTACTCTGAGAAAAGCTCTGACAGAGGAGATGAGCATTAGAGATTTGTAGGTGCACTCCATGGGTTCTTTAAAAAACACCACTACCACCTATGGGTGGTGGATTCTCCAACTGACAGCAGCATAGGGCACAGCAACTATGGGGCGAGGGATACCATCCCTAGGGAGCATGGGCTGTGGTGTACTTTGCTGGGGCCTAAAGAATGTTAAGCAGGGCCGGGCGCGGTGGCTCAAGCCTGTAATCCCAGCACTTTGGGAGGCCAAGATGGGCGGATCACGAGGTCAGGAGATCGAGACCAGCCTAGCTAACATAGTGAAACCCCGTCTGTACTGAAAAATACAAAAAAACTAGCCGGGCGACGTGGCAGGCGCCGGTAGTCCCAGCTACTCGGGAGGCTGAGGCAGGAGAATGGCGTAAACCCGGGAGGCGGAGCTTGCAGTGAGCTGAGATCCGGCCACTGCACTCCAGCCTGGGTGACAGAGCAAGACTCCGTCTCAAGAATGTTAAGCAGGAGGGTTGCCCTCCACAGGCCTGAGAGCAGGCCCCAGGCCCAGCCGAGGGTGTTTTGTCCCAGGAGTGTTCCTGTGAAGGCTGCCCTGCTCAGAGGTTTGTTGGGAACTTGAATGGAAGGGTAAGAGGCAGGTTGGGGCTGGTGGGGGGGTGGGACCATGCTCTTTAGTAATTTTAGTCAGACTCCCCACTCAGGGAGGAATAATGAAGTGCACCAAACTTGATATGCCTGATTATACCATGATCATCTTAGAAGACTGGCCAGGTTCCAAGCAGATGACAAGTGACTCTTTTCTCATGAAGAGGTCAGTGGCCTGGTTTTGCGATGCCTGCAGTCTCCAGAGGGTGTCCAGTTAACTTGCTGGGAGAATGGTGTGGACTCTTGCTGACCCCACCTAACCTTTGGGTTTGGAGCACAAGTTCCCTGATTTAAACACAGCAGCTGCCAGTCACGTTAACTGCTGTGGGGGTGCCTGCTCGGCCCCTCCCTCATAGCCATTATCTCCTATTCTCACAGCAGTGCTAGAATGGCGGGAGGTCGTAGCCCCATTTTACAGGTGTTGAAATCGAGGCACAGAGGGCAGCGTTATTTGCCTAAAATTCCAAAGTTAGTAGGTGCCCTTAGCAGATTTTGGGCCCACCTCGTTTCTTTAGAAGGGAAATGCTACTTTTGGAAAGGGAAATGAAGGGTGACTCATGTGACGAATGTGCTAAAATGCACAAAAAGAGGGCCGCCAGGGCAGTGGAGGAATTGGTGCTTTTGTTCCAGGGCTGCTTCAGAGTCTGTGTGCTCAGGGCCCAGCCCTCTTACCCCAGCCATAGCCAAGAGGAAGCAGCCAGCCGGGCCCCAGCAGCCAGCAGAGAGAATGGACAGGTCGTGGGTTGTGGGAGAGAAGGAAAGGGAGGAGTAACCGGTGGGGCCAGCTTTCCCCAAATAGAAATAGGCAAACAACAGAAACAGGACTAAATAATCTTCCCAGGAAATGCTGACTGTAAGTGGGAACAGTGAGAATTACAGGGGTTCTAGCTGGAACGAGGAGGGTGACAGCAACCCCCAAGGGCTTAGCTCTAGAACTACCTAAACAGACGCATTTGCTCACACACGTGCGGTGCAGACACATGCCCGAGCTGCCTGCATGCCACCACTTGCTTTTCCTGCCCCTCACACAACACGCACAGATATACTTATCTTTACTCCTACAGGCAGATGTTGCGTGGAGACAGATTCAGAGATAAAGATACAAAGAAAAACTCTCGCAGCTGACACAGCTGCCCACCAAAGGCACAGAGGTGATCCAGACCACTGAGGCAGAGTTGGAAAAACACACATGTGTACATGTGTTTGTAACACCCCTCCCCCTGTGGCTTGGCAGTCTGTTTACTCCCGTGGTCTCCCATTTCCATACTCTTAGACGCCGTGAACGGATTGTCTTCATCAATGGGGAACCCTCTCCCAGACAGCGCTTGGCAGCCATAGGTTTTCCCTGGAGTTGTAGCATCTGGAGCTACAGGGATGAGCCTTTGAGTACCTATTACAGTGAAGTGGCCGCACTGTGACCTGCAGTTCTGCAGACAGGAAGGCACTGAATGCCAGGATTTTTGTAGAGTGTGACTATGAAGTCCTGGCTTGGCTCAGAGACCTTCTTAGAGCAGTAATTTGGGACCAGTGATTTCTGATAAAGTTTTTCTAATTTCCTAATAATTTTTTTCTAATAAAAGCCATATGGCAGGTCCTGCTCCGTCGGTAGCGTGACCAGTACCTGGCGCAGTGCTAGTGTTGAGCTGACAGGAAGTGCCTCACCTTCAACTCTCACTTGACAGTGAGTGGAAGACTCTTGGCTCAGGGTATCCCTCAGTCATGACTGCACACTGTTCCGAACCTTTCTCCCAACTTCATCCACTTCATACTATTTTAATAAAGCAGCGCTGTGTATTATAACATTGTGCAGCTGAGCATCACACTCATGGCTCCCATTATCAAGCCCCTATTACATACAGGGCGTTTCACAAAGAAGCAGACTTCCAGGCAGTCACTCAGCAACCTCCTCCCAGGAGCATTCAGGGAAGAGAATCTTGGGGCAAGTTTCCTTTACCACCTGCATTCACCTGGGATGCTGGGGAAATTTTTGATTTCTGTTGTCTCCCTTCCAGAAAATTATTTGAGAGTGGGGTCAACAAATCTGCACTTGAGTCCATACCCAGGGTAGTTTTTCTGTAGCGTTTTTTAAGTTTAAGAAGTTTTTAAAGTTTAAGACACACTGGTTAGGGTTTTGGGCTCTGGAGGATGAGAAACCTTCCTTGGGTTATCAGATGACAGGTTCTTCTCTGGTTTCCCTCCGATGTTATCAGGGGAATTGTTAAACAGTTGTTTCACATTTGGGTGCTCCTGGGCCTTTTAAGAGCCAGGCTGGGAGGGCTGGTGATAGGAACCCTGGCTGGCAACAGAGGCTGTTTTCACCTCTGGGTGGCTCCCCACCTGCTTTCTGCCCTGGTAGGGTGCAGGCTCCGGGAATTGGCACTCAATGAAAGAATTTTGATTTCCAGTGGAATTTGTGCTGTCACAAGATTTGACCCATGGGACTAGTGAATAGATCGATGGGTTAGGTGAGCATGTGACTTGGCTGGTGGCCGAGAGAGTGATAAATGTGAGAGCAGTTGGGGAAAATGGAAGCGGATTAAGATAGAAGAGGGGCATTGTCCATCTGGCCGGTGGCGGGGCTGGTGGAGCAGCAGTTCTAGACCTATTCTGAGTTTAGTTCTGAAACCGATTAAACACGGGGGAAGTCTCTCCCAAATTGTTTATGGTTTCTCACAGTGGGTGCCTTTTGAAGTGATTGTTTTTGACAGCCCAGAGTGTTGGGCACACAGCTTTGTGCTATCTAAGGTCCAATTGTTACTCCTAGCAATAGCTTCAAAGGCATATTTCATAGCTCTAATAGTTTTAAAGTATAAGGGTGTGAGAATGATTTGAAGAATATTTATGCCATGAAATCTTCCAATTGCTCTTCAACACGGTGCACCATAGTGGATGTGAATAGAAGTGGTGGCAACAGACCTGAATTCAGGTCTGCCACTGACTATAATACTACTTTGAGAAGTAACTTGAACTCTGTAAGCCACAGTTTCCTTGTCTGTAAAATGAAGACGATAATACTGGCTTCATAGGATTATAATTAGGATTGAATGAAATATAGTGAAGCATTCAGCAAAGTGTTCTGTAAATTGGGGTAGGATGTGAGGTAATTGGCCTTGTTAGATGCATCTCTGGGTAAACAACCAAATTCTCTGCTTATTTGGCTGTTTCCCTAGCTGCCTTGTTAAAATAAAACACCTGAGTTGACCAGAACACCTCTATTTTTAGAATCTAACTTTGCGGTTGTATTAGTCTCTCCTTGCATGGCCATAAAGAAATACCTGACACCTTCATCAAGAAATGAGGTTTAACTGGCTCACGGTCCTGCGGGCTTTACAGGAAGCATGGTACTGACATCTGCTTGGCTTCTAGAGAGGCCTCAGGAAGCTTACAGTCATGGCAGAAGGCGAAGTGGGAGCAGGCACATCACATGGTGAAAGCGGGAGCAAGAGAGGGAGTTGGGAGAGGAGGTGCAGCACACTTTTAAACAACCAGATCTCCCAAGAACTCACTCGCTTTCGTGAAGATAGCACCAAGCCATGAGGGATCTGTCCCCATGATCCAGACACCTCTCACCAGGCCCCACCTCCAGCATTGGGGATTACAGTTCAGCACGAGATTTGGGTAGGGACAACTATCCAAACTGTATCAGCAACAGACTGTAATTATAAGTTATGTTCTAGGAATAGAATTGTTGTCGCTGAAAGATTCCCTTGGCATGGGAGCCTCCTGGCTCTTTGAAGGAATCAGTCAATGCTTATCCCAGGGAGATAATGATAAGGTAGAAGTTTGACAAGAAATCTACGTTTTCTTAAGCTAAGTAGTAGGTTAACAGAAGATGGGTTCTGTGTTAATAGTTCCATTTACATCTCTTTCTCCAAGGTATACACACTCTGCGTCACTAAGTCAAGACACCGTTCTTTGACATTGGCTAATAGTAATAGCAATCATAGCCACTGCATTAGCACTTACTTCACATCCTTGTACTGAGCACTGCTTACATTATGTGATGTTGTTGTTGTCACCATTACATACATAAGGAAGCTGAGGTTTTCAGAGATTGAGTAACTTGTGCAAGATCACACATCTGGTAGGGCAAAACCAAGATCTGTTTGTCTCCAAAATCTGCTTCTATCCTGCCTGGGAGACCTTGGGAATGACGACGGTGAGTGGTTGTAGGAAGGAGGGCTGATGTCAAGGTGGCTGTGGGGGCAGGAGGCTGAGGGAACTCACTGACCCTTGAGGGGCTCCTGAGGTGGGGGCTTCTGGGTTTCCTGTTGGCAACGGGAGGAGGAGTGCCAGTTCCCATAAGTGGTTATTGCCCAGGTTGTGACCTGGGTTTGGCCACAGTGATTGGTTCCTTTTGGAATTTCATGAATGACCCCCAGGCAGGGTTCTTACAATCACGCTGGAGACCACCCAGGAAGTTCCTGTGGGGTAAAATGATGCAGCAGCCTGCTTTCCTCAGAAGGCCTGAAACCCTCCCCGTGTACACACACACACATACACAGACACACACACACATACACGCACTCACACACACACACCCTCCACCCCTCTTGGTGTCTTTGGCCTTTTGTCCTAGCTTGTTTGTTTCTATGGATGTCTTCAAGTTCAGCTAGAACCTATGGGAATGACTTAGTTTTGAACCTGTAAGAATGAGAAGTAAACAGTTCTTTGTAGTGACTTTGAATTTCCTTTCTTCTCCTGTCCAAAGGTGAAGGGTGAAAATTGTCCCAGATTTTTTTGGACATACCAAAGCTTAGATATTCTACAGTGTTGTCCCAATTTTAAAAGCCCTAGAAAATTGGTTAAGGCAAATTTTAACTAAATCAAATCAGTAATTATTACAATAAAGTGTAACTAGCTACATAAATCCTAACATTACAATTTTAGGCTTTGAAAAAATATCACTGTTGATAGAGGAAGAGTGACAGGTGGTTGTTTACAAGTGTGTCGTGCCTCCTCTCCCAACTCTCTCTCTTGCTCCCGCTTTCACCATGTGATGTGCCTGCTACCACTTCGCCTTCTGCCATGACTGTAAGCTTCCTGAGGCCTCTCTAGAAGCCAAGCAGATGTCAGTACCATGCTTCCTGTAAAGCCCGCAGGACCGTGAGCCAGTTAAACCTCATTTCTTTATGAAGGTTTCAGGTATTTCTTTATGGCAACGCAAGAAGAGTGTTTTGGGTCTTGGGATGGTAGAAAGAAATATTAAGTAGGGAGTAAAGATCAATGCACCCCTTGAAGTGTGGTGAAGATGGGTGGGTTTTGATGCAGTGTGTGCGGGTGTGTGTGTGTGCGTGCGTGTGTAGAACTTTCCTAAATTCAAAATGATACTTACATTTTGATAAACCCAGAGAGTTAATTAACATGGCATAAATGTGCTAGCTCGTTGTTGTTTTTCAGGGAGAGAACTAGAGAGAGACATAAGTCACCCCGGAATAAAGATGGCAGAGGGTCAGAAAAATCTGTCACCATTCAACCTCCCACTGGAGAGCCCCTGTTGGGAAATGATTCTGCTCGGACAGAGGAAGTTCAGGTAAGGATCAAAGGTAGTCTCTAAGCACACTGCCACTTGACCAAGACTCCTTTCTGTAAATGTTTTCCTTAGGTTCTCTTGGGTTTTTGTCTTTATTTTTCTAGCATGCTAATTTATCTATGTCCCGTGATCTCTTTTTGGTCTGAGGACAGCCTGTCCTGCCCTTTGGTAGCTTGGGGATTCTTCTGAAGTATGATTGGTTGGCCTGCTTTGCATGGTGTGGAAAAGAAATTAGCAAGGTTGATGACAGGGTAGGGAAGGGAAAAGCTGAAGTATCTCACTGCTCATTTCACAATGGAACAGTGTAAGAGGGAGAAGGAAACTCAGAAACCCTAAGAAGAAGTTTGAAAAACGTGGGACAGCCCAGACTGACCGTTACTACTAGAGCTATGCAGTAAATCAGAGGCCGCACACTCAGATGCCTGGTAGAGAAACATAAGTTAATTAAGGAGGCCCTGGATCAAAAAGAGGGGCAAAAATATATCAAACAAGCTTTGGGTTAAGAGCAGTCTGTGCAGTGCATCAGTGTGAGTGCTGTAGTGTGGTGTGAAGGAGCCTGTGGCTAACTGGAGAATGCATTGCCTCTGTAAAGGAAACAGTAGCCCCGCAGCTCCAGACACCTACTGTTGCTCAGGAATTCAGGGATTCAGTGTTTGAGAAAAGCTGCAAATCCGGATTTTATGTGAAATCCTAACTTTATAGTATTTTTGAAATACTGACACTTTATTAATTTTTTAAACCATTGAGTGGGTTCTTCTCCAGGTTCCAACTGTCTGGCAGCCCACCTGATTTAAATAAATATCTGAGCTATACACAGAAACATGTTTGCACACCCTCTGCACATCCTGAAATATATATACACATGTCCAGCCTTGCCCCTCATAAACAAAGCAATGTATGATACACAGCTGTAAAGACAGATATAGGACTATAGCTAAGCATACATCTGTACATACCTGTGCATACACACAGGTAAGCATTTATAGTCAGATAGGTGCACTGAAACTGGAATTCCTCAGAGTATACAAGGTGTTCTTGGGACTCAAAGCTCCAGTTGTGGGTTGAACGTGGGGTTCACTGAGCAATGAGCAAATGCCTTTAGTGCTGCCTGCCTTGGCTCTGGGATGGCTGATGGTTGGGTGGGGCCAATCCTAGGACTGGATCACCCTGGAGTGCATGAGGGGGTCATTTTCCTCCTGGATGTGGGTTCAGAGGTGCCGGTGGCCTACAACAAAGGCTATTCTTTCTCTGCATCTCCTCTGCACCTCAATCTGAGAACTACTTTGGGAAGCTATTGGTGTTGCCCAAGAATGATCTGGTGTGAAAAGCATTGAGATGGGTGTTTGGAGGCTATATTCTTTAGTAGCTCCGTTACCTTGAGCGGTCACAGCCTTTGTAGGCCTCAGTTTCTGTACTGAATATCTAGGGGTTTTGATGAAAGCATCTTAGGTGCTTTTTCTTCTAAGAACCTCAAGCTTAACAGGATCCTTTGTACATCTTCATTTTTTAGGCATGCATGTGCACCCCAGGAAACTCTCTTGTGCCCCTCCTAGTCAACCTCTGCCCCACCCTCACCTCTCCAAGGCAACCACTGTGTTGATTTCTATCACTCTAGTTTAATTTTGCCTGTTTTTGAATTTAATATAATTAGAATCATATGGTCCACCCCTGCCCCCTAACCCGCCCCACTCAGCATAATGATTTTGAGATTTATCCATATTTTGGTATGTTTCAACAGCTTATTCTTTTTACTTTTGCTGAGTAGTGTTCCATTGTGTCAGTCTACCACAATTTGTTATCCATTCTCCTAGTGAATGGACATTGGGGTTTTTGTTTGTTGATTGGTTTGTTTGTTTTTTGAGACAGAGTCTTTCTCTGTTGCCCAGGCTGGAGTGCAGTGGCACGATCTCAGCTCACTGCAGCCTCTACCTCCCGGGTTCAAGCGATTCTCCTGCCTCAGCCTCCCGAATAGCCAGGATTACAGGCACGCGCCCCCAAGCCCAGCTGATTTTTGTATTTTTAGTAGAGACAGGCTTTCACCGTGTTGGCCAGGCTGGTCTCGGACTCCTGACCTCAGGTGATTTGCCTGCCTTGGCCTCCCAAAGTGCTAGGATTACAGGCGTGAGCCACCGCACCTGGCTGGATGTACATTTTTATTAATTTTTGGAGAAAACCTGAGAGTGGAATTGCTGAGCCATGTAATGAAGTGTATATTTAAATTTCTATGAAACCACCAGAGTGGTTTTCCAGAGGCACTGTGCCATGGTCCACTTCCACCAGCAATGTTTGAGAGTCCTGGCTGCTTCTGGCCATCGTCTTAAATAGGAATTTCTCTCAGTGTATGTGATACTTCGAACTTTCCAAGTTGAAGGATTATTAGTTCATAGGATTGAGACCTTAACCACCACTTCTTACCATAGCCCATACATTTCATAAATCATGTTTTTTGGTCATGACTAGATTCGGGGTTATTTGGTTATGAGCGATCTCTGTCTTGCTGATTTAGCTACTAACTTCAGCTAGCTTTTTCTAAGTCGGTGTCCTGATTTCACCCACTTTGCCACTGCATCTGATGTTGTTTTTTCTGAGTGAGAGGATACATACGAATTTCTGAGGCAAAACCTCTTTGGCCCCCTGTGTCTTTTCAGCACCTTGCTCTCTTGTTGCTCCGTTATTATTGCCAGTTGTTTTTAAACAGCAGAATCCTTTAAAATTCTGTCAACTGGGTCTTGCTAAGTGAATAGACTAATTGCTTTAACTTGCAACTGCCTAGAAGTTTAAAAAGACAGGAAGCTAGAAAGTAAAAGATACATTATAATAATCCTGGTTGTTTCTATGCCCTTGATGTTTAAGTTCGTCATGAAAATATGTTTTAGAAAGAATTTTTAAGCCAATATGGCCATACGTGGATTCTTGGATTTGCTTAGCTTGGTCCATGAGAAATATTGTTAAAGAGTGCTTGACACTGATACTTGTTAAGTGGATCTTGTGAACATCGTAAGGAGTTTTTTTTTTTTTTTTTTTTTTTGAGACGGAGTCTTGCTCTTGTCCCCCAGGCTGGAGTACAGTGGCGCAATCTCAGCTCACTGCAACCTCTGACTCCCGGGTTCATGCAGTTCTCCTGCCTCAGCCTCCCGAGTAGCTGGGATTACAGGCACGCACCACCATGCCCAGCTAATTTTTGTATTTTTAGTAGAGACAGTGTTTCGCCATGTTGGCCAGGATGGTCTCGATCTCCTGACCTCGTGATCTCCCCACCTCGGCCTCCCAAAGTTCTGGGATTACAGGTGTGAGCCACCGCGCCCAGCCCGTAAGGAGATTGTTAAATGTGAGTCCTAGCTGCAGGTAAACTTGGGTTTGTGTAGTGATGTGAGTTCTCTTGCTATGCCCTTTGCTCTTCTGGGCTGCTGGAGGGTGTAGTAATACTCCCACCTCCAGAAGTTGGACTTCGTGAGCCTTTATATCCCAGCGTGAATTGGAAAGAAGATCCAGGAGGTTTATCTCTATAGATGAGCTCTCACAAGATTAGTCTAACACCTGGATTGCGCATTGCAAGGCAAACAGCTCCAGGCCCTCAGAGCTTCTCAAGGCTTTTCAGCACAGGGGGTGATAATCAATGTTATGTCAATGGATCACCCAAACAGACAGAAAGATCACATTATGTTTTCTCTGTTTGAGAAGGTAAATACTGTGTACATTTTGAAAATTTCAATGAAAATTGTTTGAGTTAAAAAGTTCTAATATTTAAAGAGTTAAGCTTTCATTTTCTGGAAGCTTTTGTGAACAGGGCTGGGTAGATGCGGCGGGCCCTGCCTGTTCACTGCTCTTTGTAGCTTTTACAAATGACCTGCATCGTGTCATCCTCACTGTCTTCTCCCCACCAGGATGACAACTGGGGAGAGACCACCACGGCCATCACAGGCACCTCAGAGCACAGCATATCCCAAGAGGACATTGCCAGGATCAGCAAGGACATGGAGGACAGCGTGGGGCTGGATTGCAAACGCTACCTGGGCCTCACCGTCGCCTCCTTTCTTGGACTTCTAGTTTTCCTCACCCCTATCGCCTTCATCCTTTTACCTCCGATCCTGTGGAGGGATGAGCTGGAGCCTTGTGGCACAATTTGTGAGGGGCTCTTTATCTCCGTGGCATTCAAACTCCTCATTCTGCTCATAGGGACCTGGGCACTTTTCTTCCGCAAGCGGAGAGCTGACATGCCACGGGTGTTTGTGTTTCGTGCCCTTTTGTTGGTCCTCATCTTTCTCTTTGTGGTTTCCTATTGGCTTTTTTATGGGGTCCGCATTTTGGACTCTCGGGACCGGAATTACCAGGGCATTGTGCAATATGCAGTCTCCCTCGTGGATGCCCTCCTCTTCATCCATTACCTGGCCATCGTCCTGCTGGAGCTTAGGCAGCTGCAGCCCATGTTCACACTGCAGGTGGTCCGCTCCACTGACGGCGAGTCCCGCTTCTACAGCCTGGGACACCTGAGGTAAGAGGCAACATGCAGGAGGCAGAAAGGATGGCTGATGCCTTGCTGGGAGACAGCTGCTTTCTAGCACGGGAGGGGTGGCAACAGATGCCAAGAGCTAGGACCAGAGTCTGACCCTTTTCTGGTTTGGGGAGGAGATGCGAAGGTGGGGAGGGTTTCCATGTTTATTGAGTTTCTGGACTTCTAGATGGTGCGGGGCAGTTGCTGGCTCTCACCCGGGTTGAGGTTTTGCTGGGTCTGTTCTCAAAGTTATTGGCAGCTCCCAAAAATGATGGAGAAAGGAGATGCATAGTGATGGCTGCCTACTTTGACTCTGAAATTGGCCAATGGACAATGGATAAAGTGACCACCAGCTCCATTTTGTCCAAAATGTGACATCTGATTTACCACGCTGTCCCAGTGGAATCGTGAATTGTTCCTTTTTTCCCTGCCCTCAGAGGCCTGGTTGGGGCAGTAAATTATATGGTCATCCTAGGGACCCTCCAATAAAGAATCAGGTGCAGGTTAGAGACTCCAAATGTGTGAGCTGTGAGTGTTTTGAAAATGTATGCCTGAGAAAAAGTTAGAAGTCAGTTGGGTTGTCATACTTAAATCTCTGCACATAATCTCATTATTTTGTGGTTAAATAAGAGTGATTACCATCATTTTATTTACTTCAAGGTAAGCACTTTATACAGATTGCATATTTAGTCTTCATAGAACCCCATGACCTAGGTGTTATTAATCCCCGTGTCACAGATGAAGAAACTAGGGCTTACAGATTTTACGTAATTGCACAAAAACATATGGCTAGCCTCATTTAGGATTCACTCAGATGTCGTGAGGCCAGGGCTGAGTGAATGCCCCCATAATGGCATCTCTCACTTTGTGGTTAGTGGCCTATTTTTCCATCTGTTTTCTTCCACAGACTATGAATGAGGCCAGGGGCCGCCCTTATACCTCATGACATTCTCAGTGCCTGGCATGGGGCATGGACACAGTTGGCACTGAGATGGTCTCTGGGTGAATGCAGAGCCTGGGACATCTGACTTCAAAGCCTTTACCCTCTCCCAGGCTCTCTGCCTCCTTAGGCAGAATATGCTGATGTGTGTAGCCTGCTTGGGGCAGGGTAGGCACTTAGTTCATTGCACCTATTACTGCTGTGATCATGTAGCTGGCAGAACAGCCAAAATCAGCAAGGACACACCTTAGTGGGTATCAGAACAATCGGCTTTGTCATAGATTTGGCTGGGCTCCAGGGAGGTGGCTCAGCTTGTATTTGGAGTCAGGCCACGCTGCCAAACCGTCTTCATGTTGGTGTGTACCCTCTTTCATTCCTCTGGCTTGGCTTGTGCTACGGGGATGGGATAATCTAGCATTCAAGGTTGCTGCCACCCTTGGTGGAAACTGGTGTCCAAGTCACATGTCTGTGTACCAGAAATCTGCGGTTTTGAGTCCTTCACAGATGCCTGTAGGGCTCTGAAGACAAGTAGGTCACCGCTTTGCCACGTATTCATCTCAGAAGGCTTTCTTTCCCCATGTTTGGCGTCGGGGAATGAGCAGCAGATTTGTGTTAAACATCTACTGTGTTCAGAGCCCCGGACACATCAGGCTGGCTGTCTTCAGAGCTCTATCTCAGCACCTGTGATGCTCACAGTCACTTGGAAAGAGTCTGTGCACCGCTGTCTGGTGGGCAGGTGCAGAAACAGGCCTGGGGTATAGGTGATGGAAACATAGGAGGACAGAGAATTTCAGATTGTGGCAGCAATAAAGCCAAGCGGGGGAGACAGTCTGTCTCAGAACAGGTTTTGCTGCAGTTAAAGCAGTAGAGAAAATTCCAGCTGTGGTCACGGTAGAGATGAGTGATATTTGGAGCTCTATATGTAAGTAGCCAAGACACTGGCCAGGAGTGAGGTCTGTGGTGGTTTTGATTTTTGGCCCTCAGCCCTAGTTGGTGTGAATTCCACCTGTGTAGGTGGGAAAGGGCGGGGCGTCTTCTCACCATAGGTCATCCAGGGTGGTGGGACTGACTTCCCCCCATGGGCTCCCACATTGCTCCTCCCTGTAAGACTGGTTGAGCTGCACACTGCAGCTGAGTGGGGGTGGAGAGGGGACAAACCAAACAGCCTGGGGAAAGTATGCCTGTGGCATGTTCAGAAAATGTAATTAGCAACAGCCCTCGCCTCTCACCACACAGTTCTGCTGGTCAGGGCAGAGCTGGACGGGAGAAGCCAGACTGATTGTGCTGCATGGCTCCCAGGCTTGCTACAAACCTTTCAGTTTGCTCTCACCATGACCAACTGTCCAGGCTTTCAAAAACTCAAGTCAGTCACCCCAGCTCCCCAGGGAGACCTGAATGGTGGCAAGTGCCCATCTGCCTTGGGGAGAGCGTTTTGAGGTGGTCCCCAGCCTTATCCTTTCAGCTTCTCTTTAGGGCCATTGGTTTTCCTCCTCTCCCTGCCTTTAATTAGGCCCCCTTTGTCCCTCTCCTGGAGAGCCTGGGTTAGGAGGTGGAAAGAATGGCTGGGGAAAGAGCTACGTCTTTGCTGACAAATGGGGCCCTCAGGGAGAGCCAGATGCCCAAGTGACAGCCAGTCTGCCAGAGCTGGAACAGGCTTGGCACCTTTCCTCCTGGCATTGTGTGGGCCTGGTCACCCGCCGATCCTTGGGCTAAATCTGGTCTGAACCCAGCAGTGGCTAGAAGAGTTACTAGGCCAGAAATACAACTTCTAAGGCCTTTTGTAAAGTGTAGAAACAGACAGGAGGGAAGAGGGAGTGGGAATAGACAAAGCAAGCCTCGGAAATCAGAATAGCAGGGTCTCCATCAGACCCAGCAGAATCACAGGCTGTCGGCTCTCCCTTTATGTAAAGCCTTCACCGTGGCAGCAACCTATCGGGCTTAGGTGCCAAGCAAGCGATGGTGAGTTCTTTTTTATGTTTTCAAAGATGATTTTATCGAATTGACTGAGCTATTTTTGAGAATTGTCAAAAGAATGTCTACTCTTTAGTTTCTTAAAGAAAACAGGCTTCTCGTTAGTTCATAAAAGGCACTTGCTGTGGCCCTGCTTGTTGGCAAGAATGAAGTTTTGGGCTTATTTGAAAACTTTCAAAAATGTAAAAAGTTGTTGCAGAAAGTAAGAGACCGTAAATAGATTGAGATACTTCCTACCCTCTGCCCAGTGCCCTAGGAGTTACAAAAAGCTTTTCATAGGTTTGGACTCATTTGCTCCTCCTTGCTGCCCTGTCAGAGGTCAGAGCAGGTGGGGTAGGGGTGTCCCCTCTTACAGCTGAGGTCCCCAAGCCCCAGGGTCAGAGACCTGCTCAAGGTCACAGGGAATCAGCACCTTCCTGTGCATCACACCCCTTACCCCACCGCACTGTCTACAGCATCCTGGTGTCTCACACAGTCGCTTTGTCATTTTTCGTACACACCTTGCTTGTCACTTTTCTTGACCCCGTTCTCACAATAAGTTGCTAACTTTTCCAGGATGTTACCAGAGACTAATGACTTTTGATATGACTTGATTTGAGGAGAAACCTGGAAGAATAGAAGAGCCTAAAAATTGGTATTCAATTATCGTAACCATTTTTCAGTTTTGAAACCTCCAAAGGGAAATACTGTGAATACTGGCGCAGACACTAGTATAATTGACTGGTTGAATGTGAAATGGTAGAACAACAGAGACAGAAAAAGAAAACCTTAACGATAAACAATTAAACAGGTACCTTCTAATCTTTGTTTTTTTTGAGGGGGCGGGGATGGAGTCTCACTCTGTCGCCCAGGCTGGAGTGCAGTGGTATGATCTTGGCTCAGTGCAAGCTCCGCCTCCCAGGTTCACACCATTCTCCTGCCTCAGCCTCCTGAGTAGCTGGGACTACAGGTGCCCACCACCACACCCGGCTAATTTTTTCTGTTTCTTTAGTAGAGATAGGATTTCACCATGTTAGCCAGGATGGTCTTGATCTCCTGACCTCGTGATCCGCCTGCCTAAGCCTCCCAAAGTACTGGGATTACAGGCATGAGCCACTGCACCCGGCCGTACCTTCTAATCTTTTAACATGCAACTTAGTTTTCACAACAATCATGTGAGGTAGGTTCTGGTAGCCAGCCTCCTTTTCAGATGAGCAAACTGAGGCGTGGGAGAGTCAGGTAAGTCTAAGGCCCCATTTGTAATTGTGGGATCCAGGATTTGAGCCCAGGCTCTCTGCTTCCAGAATGATCTTACCCATTTCACCATACTACCTCTGAATAGATAGGTTCGTGTTCACATCACTGCTTTAGGAACACATGAACAAACCCAGAAGCATTTTTCGAGTGTTTCCCATGTGCCAGCCTGATTGCCAGCTATTTTTGTATACATTATTGTGTTTCACTTAACACAGAGCTTAGGGCTGGAACAGAGAATGTGGAGGATTGTCAAGATGGCTTGCACTCTGAGGTCCATTCCTTAGCTCCACTGGTTATTTTATTCACTCAGTTGACAAAGCTTGGTCCTTAAAGTCATAGCAGTAGGTTTGAGCCTTTGGTCAGACCTTTTTAACTTTCTATACTTCACGTGTCTCAAAGAAGATATCTTTTATCTATTGTTGTGCAACAACTACCCCACCACTTAGTAGCTTAAAACAACCAATACAGTATTTGTCACAATTCTGCAGCATGGATTGGGCTCAGCCAGGAGGTTCTTTAACTGATCCTGCCCATGGTCCTGTGTGATTATACTCACACGGTGAGTCAGCCAAGGCTGACTTTCTTTTCCTGTGTATTCTGTCCTCCTTCTTTTCCTATATATTCTCTCCTTCTCGTGGCCTCTGCGTGTTGTTTCCGCACCAGGTTGCTAGACTTCTTAAATGGCAGTTCAAGGCTCCCAAGAGCACAAAAGCAGAAACTCCCACCCAGGCCTTTTAAGGTCTGGGCCTGGAATTGTCCCAGTATTATTTCTATTGCATTCTCTTGGAGAAAGCAAGCCACAGCCCTATCCCACATTTAAGGGGAGAGGACGACACAAGACAGAGGCTACTAGGGCGTAAAGGTCAATATCACAGACTCCCACAACCACCTAGGACTCTTTCTCAGAGTCTGTTTATTCTTATTTGGCATATAGTTCTAACCAATTTAATTATTGATTTCTATACCTTAAAAAGCCCAGAAGTAACATGTTTTGAGGGGGAAAAGCACTGCTTTAAGGAGGTATATGAACATCAATGAAAAATGATAGCTGATAGTCATCAACAAGGAGGGAGACAGAGAAACCACAAAAGCAGGAATGACTCAGCACTCTGGGAAACTTTCCACAGTGGCCCACTCTGTAGGATATTTATGTTTCTGAAGCTCCATTCTACCCAATTCAGCCAGCAGGTTTTAACCGTTTGGGTTTTTAAGCTTCGGGGTCAAAGTTTTGGAGTCAGAAATGCTTCATTCATTGAGACTGAGAAAGAGTAGCTTATAAATCGACACTGACCATAGACCTTGATTTTGTGTCGCCACCCAAATCTCATCTTCAATTGTAGCTCCCATAATTCCCACATGTTGTGGGAGGGACCCAGTGGGAGTTAATTGAATCACAGGGGCAATTTCTCCCATACTGTTCTTGTGGTAGTGAATACGTCTCACAAGATCTGATGGTTTTGTAAGAGGAAACCTTATAAGAGGTGGCTCTCATTTTCTTTCTTGTCTGTAAGATGTGCCTTTTGCCTTCTGCTATGATTGTGAGGCCTCCCCAGCCATGTGGAACTGTGAGTCCGTTAAACCTCTTTTTCTGTATAAATTACCCAGTCAGGTATATCTTCATCAGCAGCATAAAAATGGACTAATACAGATCTTTTAATCAAAGATGTGGTAACTAATCACAGAACCACCTGTTCTTTAGAGGAAATGATCCTTGGATTGCTTTTCAAGCAATGGAAGTTTATGATTGTCACATTGTCAGTTGTGATTAGATTCAAAGAAGTGTTATGGACTGAATGTTTGTAGTCCCCCCAGATTCATATGTGGAAGCCCTAACCTCCAGTGTGGCGTATTTGGAGATGGAGCCTCTAAGGAAGAAATTGAGGTTAAATGTAGTCAGTGTGGGACCCTGATCCCATAGGACTGGCGTCCTTACAAGAACAGATATGAGAGAGCTTTCTCTCTCTGCACACACCCTTAGAAAAGGCTGTTTGAGGCCACAGAAAGAAGGTGGCCATCTGTAAGCCCAAAAAAGAGCCCTCAGCAGGAACCACAGTGGCTGGAGCCTTGATCTTGGACCCCTAGCCTTCAGAACTGTAAGAAAATAAATTTCTGTTGTTTAAGCTACCTAGTCTGTAGCATTTTGGTAACAGCAGCCTGAGCTGAGACAGGAATATTACATACACTGGAGACTTTTGACCCCAGAGACTTTTGACCTGTTGAAATAGAGCTCATCTTGTCCTCTCTTCAGCTCATGCAGGCATCCTCCCAGCTTGTACGGGGGCCTTGCTTCTCTGGATTGCACTTTGATTTTCTAGTTTTAAGTGACAAAGGGAGAGTCTCTTAGGGAGGTTAAAGTTACTCCAGTAATTCCAGGATATTTCCAGCTCCTTTTGAAATCTTATGTTTGTGATTCTGGGTCAAGTAATGTCCAAGCCGGTGATTACATTACTGGTAGGCATGTTTCTCATGCTGGGCCACGCCCTCCATCCCGTGTTCACGATGAGCACCAACGGTCTCCAAGAGCCCAGAGCCAGTGGCTGCAACGTTGGGAAAATTCTTAAATGACCATCAGTGGTTTTGGCTCATGTTACTACGATCGTGGGTTCAGATGCCATCTCATTTTTAGAAATGTGTGTTTTTGTACTCCTGTAATTACTTTTTAATAAAGATATTTTTCCAGTCCTCACCCCCACTCCATAGCAAAGCAAAGGACAAGAGCAAGTAAGGGCTAAAACATAGAGTGTGGAGGGTTTTGCTCAGGCCTTATTTTGCTGTGGGAGAATTTTGAAGGCAGGAGTGGAGCTGCCGTTTGTGGTTTGGTGCTGTGGTGCCTGTTAAAAGTGGCTTTAATGAGAGTGTAAGGTGCTGCACACTGAAGCCCTGTGTTTACTCAGCTGCCTCCTGCCAGCGGCCACAGCTGGGATGGCTTCCCTCGCAACGGCGTCTGCCCACAGCCTTGCGCCGAGGCCCAGAGGACTCACAGGGAAGGGAGCTGGCAAAGGTGAAGCTGGTTTTCATGGTCTCCTTAGGGGCCCGGCCCCTGGGAGATGGGTGACACTCCCTGAATGCTGTGCTGTTGGTTTCCCTGGAGGATTCTCGCTGCAGGCCAGGGCCCGTATTTTCCACACTCATCACGAGTGGCTGGGTGTGACTTGACACAGTGTGAAAGTGGTGGGGCGTGAGTGCTCAGGAGGGCAAACAGCCTGCAGCCTCCTTCCCCTGGCTGCAAAGCTGCCACTCGGCTCTGCTCTGGCCTGGGTTTTGGGGAACCAAGATCCACTTGGGCAGGCCGGAAGCCTCAGACTCCAGACTTCATGGTGTGCTCCTTCCTGCGTACTCACGAGGAAGATGAGGCAGTCCAACATCCTGGGTCGGGTGGAGGTGTTTCGAGTCCATATCTAAATCTTTTTCTTAGAACGCCCTAAGCAGGCCGCTGTCTTTGATCCCCATGGCTCTGTTGTTTATCTTGGTGTAATTCATCACTGTAATTTAAGACGTGGAGAGAGCAGAGTTCCCATCCCAGGCAGGGGAGGCACAGTGCAGGTTGGACTGTGCAAGGAAGTGGCAGCGTGGCGAGGTTTGTGTCGCGGCCTGCAAGCAGGGCTGCGTGCTCCCCAGGCAGACTGTGGCAGAGCCAAGCCCCTCACTTGTAGGGAAGCGTGTCTCCTAGGTGCCCCGGCAGTGGAGGTCTGCCAGCATCTCTGTGCTGTGGGGAAGGCAGCCAGAGGGTTTCAGCCATAACTATCTCAGCCGCTCAGCAGGAGACCAGCAGTGTGTCTCTGCACTCAGAACTGCCACTGGGCCATGGTGTTAAGCCCAGGAGGGGTGTCCATGTTAACAACCTTGTATTGCTTAGTTGCTGAGACCAGAAGAACCAGGTCATTGCATGAGCTGTTAGCTACTTCTGGTTCTCACAAACTCCTCCCAGTGTTGATAGAGAATGGTGTCCTCCGGGCATGCTCTGGGTATAGTTTTATTTGTATTATTAGGGACTCATGGAGAAGCGCTGTGGGTGTCCCCCACACTGCACTTTGGAGATCATTCTGTGATTCCCAGGTCCTGCTGATTCCATTCCTTGGCGCTCTGGGATTAGATATCCTAGGCTGCCCATCTGCTTGTTCATCTTTCAGCGGAGATACCCTGCAGGGCTTGTCCACAGCTTGAATTTCAAAGCAAAAGCCAGGCATGCTTTCCAGCCTTCAAATATTGGTTCAGAGAATTCGGCTGCTGAAAATTCTGTGTACCTGAGGCACCAGCAGGCCCGGGACTCGAGTGAATCCAGGTGGCCCGAGGAAGAGCCTTCCCGCGGGCCTCAGCCGCCACACAGAGCCTCTGATCTGTTTCCCTTTGCAGAGTGGGCAGTCTCCTGTGTCTCAAGACCTCAAGCAGAAGCCTGTGGCCCTCCTCCTCTATCCTGAAAGTCCAACCAAGTCCAGGCCTTCGTTATGAGACCTGTTAGTAAACATGAGCTAATTCCAGTTTTTACCCCTCTTTGTCCTTCTCAAGTTCCAAGGTGATCATTGCCTGTTATCTATGGGACTTGTGTAAGCTAACTTCCCAAATGCAGCTGTGAGACAAACATTTTAATTAAAAGGCAGAAGGGCCGGGAGATATAAACACTCATGTGCCTGGTTGTCAGTGAAGGCGGTGGCGTTCAGCGTCCAGGGGCTAATTATATTCTCTTCTGTGGGACTCACACAAATATTGCCACAAATGGTCCTGACTGTCAGACTGAAGTCATTTATCTCCAAGTGTGGGGAGCAGTGAAGCCCATACATCTAGGTAGATTAGCCCTGACGGACTCTTCTAGGAAGTAGCAGGTGGGTAAAACTGAGAGCATCAGCTATTGCACCCTACCTGGAGGTTTTCACAGAAAGCTGAATCAACTTGTATTAGGGGTTCTGCATTTTAGAATTTTCTCAAAGACCTAGGTTTGGGCCCTAAAATGCAGCCATCAGAACAGGCACACCTTAAAAAGTAGGTAATGAGTGGCCTTAGTGCCTGGGCAGCCTTCAGTACTGGCCGCCTTTGGTTGTCCCTGTCCACTGACCCTCCTTCCTCCCATGCTTTCACCTTTGCGTTCATCTGCAGCCTCAGTTACCATTGACCAGCCTGCCTCCACCCTTCCTTCCATAAGTTCAAGTACATTAGTTTCCTAAGGCTGAAGTAACAGAGTATAGCACAAACTGAATGGCTTAAAAGTTCTGCTTCTCAGAAAGTACAAAATGTAGGTGTTGGCACAGCTGTGCTGCCCGCAAAGGCTCTAGGGAGGAATCTTTCCTTGCCTCTTCCTAGTTTCTGGTGGCTGCTGGCAACCCTTCATGTTCCTTTGTTTACGGCTGTGTCACTCCAGTTTCTGCCGCCGTCATTACATGACCTCCTCCGTGTGGGTCTCTGTTATATCCTCTTTTTTTTTTTTTTTGAGACAGAGTCTTACTCTTTCGCCCAGGCATGAATGCATTGGTGCGATCTCAGCTCACTACAACCTCTGCCTCCCAGGTTCAAGCAGTTCTCCTGCCTCAGCCTCCTTAGTAGCTGGGATTACAGGCACACGCCACCACACCCAGCTTATTTTTGTATTTTTAGTAGAGTCGGGGTTTCACCTTGTTGGTCAGGCTGGCCTTGAACTCTTGACCTCAAGTGATCTGCCTGTGTCGGCCTCCCAAAGTGCTGGGATTACAGACATGAGCCAAAGAGGCCTGGCCACCTCTTTTCTTATACGGATACCAGAATGACTCTACCTTAACTAAACATAACATCTGCAAAGACCCTGTGTCCAAATAAGGTCACATTCTGAAGTTCTGGGTAGATGCACATTTTGAGAGACACTATTTGCCACTACAGGTTTCTCCAAGCTGTGCTGTCCTGTGACTGAACACTGACCCTGTTGCTCTATTGTGGATGTTTGGGAGGATTAATACCAGCCTGTTTCTGCTCACACTGCTTTCTCTGCCTGGAATTTGCTTTACAGCCTGTTGTCCATGGTGTGACCATCATTCATCTTGTAAGACTTAACGGTCCAGCTTTGCCCCCACTGTGGATCCCCAGTGGGAACACCATCCCCCTCTTCTTAGTGTGCATGTTCTGTCATGGTCTCTGGATCACTTGACTGTACTTACTGTTTGAGTGGTGCTCACCACTGATTGGAGTGTAAGCCCCCGGAAGGTTTCATTTACATCCGGGTCACAGTACTGGGGACTTAGCAGGTGCTCACCATTTATAACTGCTTTTGATGGAGTTGGAGAGGCTAGTTATCAAGATTTTTCTGAATGTAACATCCTTAGCTGGCTTTCAGGATAGTGACTGCATGCCCTAAAAGGAGATCTTTGTAGATTTTACTCTATGACAAGAAAACTTTTTAGTGCTTTTTCTGTCAGCATGTACTTAGGTAATGAGAAGAATGACCTGGCATATATTTAGGGAATTAGCATGCAAGAAGTACTTTGACATTTTCCACATGTGAAGAAAGCTGTTTTTCTTGACCTAGCTGAAGGTATCAAATTCATATTTGAAAAGATGTGGCTAAAACTTGAAAAGGACTTGTCCATAGGGGATGTCTTCATCTCTTCTCCCTGCTCAGGGAGAAGTTGCAGGCCATAAAGTGTGAGGGCATCAGTCTGGATGAGCTCTAAAGCTCAATGTTAATTTCTGATTTCAATAACATGTAAGAGTACAAGTTTGATTGCAGAAGCCACAATCAAGTTCACAGGAGGGTGAATGAATGGGAAATAGAAGGGACTGTGTGTGCATCTGTGTGTATGTGTGCATGTGTGCACACATTTTTTTAGGCTTTGGTTCCTTTAGCTACAAAATAAGGGAGTTAAAATGGAGGTGGTTTATGGCCACAATTGTTTCCTTCAAGTATATAATAGGCTTTCACGAGAAGGGGGGACTTGGGTTCAGAACAAAGCATTGGGTGAACCAGTGGTAGAACTGAAAGGTCATTTCAATGTGAAAATGAACTTTCTTTTCAAGCAAAGGCTGGATGTCATCTGGGAGCTTATAAAAAGAATTGGTATATGGATGCCAGGCACAGTGGCTCACACCTGTAATCCCAGCACTTTGGTAGACTGAAATGGGTGGATCCGTTGAGGCCAGAAGTTTGAGCCAGCCTGGGCAACATGGTGAAAACCAGCCTGGGCAACATGGTGAAAACCCATCTCCACCAAAATACAAAAGTGAGCCAGGTGTGGTGGCATGTGCCTGTAGTCCCAGCTACTCTGGAGCCTAAGGCATGAGAATTGCTTGAACCTGGGAAGCAGTTAGCTGAGATTGCACCACTACACTTCATCCTGGGCAACAAAGGAGACTCTGTCTCAAAAATAAAAATAAAAATTGGCCAGGTTTGGTGACTCACACCTGTAATCCCAGCACTTTGGGAGGCCAAGGCAGGTGGATCATCTGGCATCAGGAGTGCAAGACCAGCCTGGCCAACAAGGCGAAACCCTGTCTCTACTAAAAATCAGCCAGGCGTGGTGGCCTGTGCCTGTAATCCCAGCTACTTGGGATGCTGAGGCAGGAGAATTGCTTGGACCTGGGAGGCAGAGGTTGCAGTGAGCTGAGATATGCCACTGCACTCCAGCTTGGGTGACAGAGTGAGACTCCATCTCTAAATAAATAAATTAAATAATTTTTAAAAATAATTGATATATGGATTGGGAGATTGGACTGATGGACTCTTGATTTCTCTAATTCTTGAATCTCTGCTTGGGTAAACACTAAGATTCCTTCCATTTCTAAAATTTTGAGGTTCAGTATAAATGGAAGTGAGGTCATGCTTTTGTGCCTAGGGACTATGTGTATATTCTAGCCATCAACCAACCCCATCCCTGCTGCAAAATGTTCATGCTCATTATTAGTAATGAGATAATATTTTGTGTTTGTAGAATGCATTATAGTTTATAGATGCCTTCACTGTCATTATTTCATTTGCTCTTCTCAACAACCACATGCGGTAGTCAGTATTATCTCTTTATCAAAGGCCAAGGAAAAGGCCAAGAAAGGGGAAATGTCTTATACAGGATTACAGGGTAGGTAGCAGGAGTCTAGAGCTTCTGGGATCTAGTACTCCTTCTATAGTGGATGCCTCCCTATACATAGGTTTGGTTTTCAGGAGGCTGAGAGTTGGCAGGAAGTACTGCATAAAAACAAAGAGTAGCATAGCTTTGTGGCCCCAGTCCCTAAGGAAGACTGCAGAGTGGACCCATCTTGGCTCATTTCCCATGGCAGTACCGTCATGGTGGGCCTCTGGGGGAGGTTGGTACAGGCACACATGGGATCAAGTTGGCCACTTCAACATATATGGCCATATAAGCTCATGGTGGCTATCGTTTATGAGTTATTTACTTTGAATAAGCACTTTAAAATGTGTTATTTCATCTTCAGCATAGACCTAAACAGGCGGGCTGCTCCTCTTTAGGAAGCAGGGAAGTGGAGGGCGAACTCCCAAGTCTCCAGTATTTTTCCTGGTCTAAATGCCAACTAGCTTTGAAGTCTCAGAATGTCATAGAACTTGGAATCATCTCAATGGATATTTAAGCTCATGAGACGTAACCTGCCTTAGGGCGATGCCAACCTCAGCCAGCACCTGGTATACTTGGATCTCGCAGGCTGCTGCTGGAGGTTCTGAGTAGCTGCCTGTACCAGGCCTGCCCCAGTCAATTCATTAGCCTTTCAGTAAGTCATTTTATGCTGCTGAGTATTTTGGAGCCCACTTATCTTGGTAAGCAGGGTTTTCTGTGCTGTTCTTCCCATCCTGCAGATTAAGAGTATGAGGTTTGAAGAAGTGACTAATTCATTCAAGTTGAATGAATGAGTGAGAGAGCCTGGAGTCGTGTTGTCTGGGGCCAGAGTCTGTACCAATTGCACTGTGCGTGCCTCCTCCCGCAGCCTCTGTGCAGACTCAGACATGCACAGAGCATGGGGAGGCAGTGGATGGTTTAGTATGCAGGGCATTAATTTGATTTGTATTTTTTTCTTCAGAATTTATCTTTAAAACATATGCCTTTCAGATTTTTGTGCATTAACATTTGAACTATGTTTTGAGGTGCTTCTTTCCAGGTCTGTTTAAGAAATGTAGCCCAAGGGCGAGCCCCTCTTCTCTGTTGCCATGGCAGTCATATAATAGTTGTCAACAACACTGGAAGTGCTTTTCGTGGTTGATTAGACACAAAAGACCACAACCTTTCTCATTCCACCCTCTTTGTCTTGCAAAGAAAGTAGGCCAGTAGGCAATGTGGTCAGCAGTGAGTTTTAAATTAAAATGTAGCTGTCGGATTCCCTTAGACCTTTATGTAGACCCATTGCTGGTCTGTCCTTCCCAGGAGTTCAAGTTTGGACCAGCCTACACTCAAGCCGGCTGAGGAGGTTTTTATGCATTGGTCTCAAGCAAATTTCTATCACAACTAGGTGTACCTTCATGTGCTGTTTTCCACACATCTATGTGGTCTGGGAGAGGGTATTTCTTTCCTGGGGTTGTGACTAGGCAGATATGTTGGTATGCGGCACCAGTTGAGCACAGAGTCCTCTATCTTGGGAAAATGCTCCTTGTCATAGGTTTGTGAGGGGGCTGAGTCTGCAGTCTGTACTTCAGGCTCCCCCTGACAGCAATACAGGGGTCCTGTTCAGTCAGGCTACCTAGCCTTTTCTCTCTGAATGTAATGGTGATAACAGAGGGGGCAAGTTTCTAACCAACTTGATTTTTCTTGCCTCCCACATTTCCCCAAGATTGTCTGTTCTAGAGACTGGGGTTTGTAGAAGGATTTGCTTTTGTTCATCTCTGGGGCCCTTTTTGCCTCTGAAAGTCCATGATTTTCTGAAATACATATTCAGGACTGATCTCAGGCCTATGGGAATTCTAAGATTGCACGAACAGAGAAGCTAAGCCTGCAAGTATTATATACCCATGGAGGAACCAAAGGACATGTCTCCTGTGTGTCAGGAATTTGCATAGGTGAGCTTGTTGAAGGGGCAAGACCACCTTCCTTGAAGACATCACAAGTCACGTGTCATCATCTTCGATACTCCAAGTTTAGGGACAGATCAGCGGGGCCTGGAGGATTCGAAAAGGCTTCCTGAAAGAAGGCAGTCCTGCGTTGGCTTTGTGGTTCCTTCCATATTTGGAGGGTGGAGAGGAATCGAGGCAGGAGGAATGCTGGGCGCTGACAGTGGTGGAAGGAACGGCTGCTCCCTGCGTCCTGGCCTCCTGGGGCTATGACCGAGGCCATGGCGTAGTAATTAGGAATGACTGATAGCCAGTAGGGAGGGAGAATGTAGAAAAAAATGTAAACTAAACAACCTCACCTATTCATACTTGCTGCAGCCTGGGACAGAGTGGGGATAGATGGCCTCCACCTCCTGATGGAATCCAGTGTCTTCACTGCATTATGTACATGGCACAGCTAAGTGTTAAGATGCGTAATCATCTGGAGTAATCAAGAAGACTTAAGTCATACATCACAGACCTCACTCTCTTCAAAACAATGAAGAAAGGCCCGGCACAGTGGCTCACACCTGTAGTCCCAGAACTTTGGGAGACCAAGGTGGGCAGATCACTTGAGCTCAGGAGTTCAAGACCAGCCTGGGCAACGTGGTGAGACCCCGTCTCTTCTAAAAATATAAAAATTAGCTGGGCATGGTGGCACGTGCCTGTAGTCCCAGCTATTTGGGAGTCTGAGGCAGGAGAATCTCTTGAACCTGGGAGGTGGAGGTTGCAGTGAGCTGAGATTATGCCACTGCACTCCAGCCTGGGTGACAGAGGGAGACTGTCTCAAAAAATAAAAGATGAAGAAAGGCATATTGGATTTTATCCCGAAAGGTCACAACCATTTGGTTTAAGTCGTGCACTTGAGTTATGTGTTTATTTAGTTACTTGGAAATTCTCATTCCCTAATATTGCTAGATATGCTGGACATCAGACAGACTATCCTCTGTAGGTGCGAGCATGCACACTCTTGCAGGTGTTTATCAACTTCTCCCTGAGATCCCTTCAGCTCCAGCGTTGGCTTCTCAGCCTGGGAGCTGGCCAGGCTCTGAGTCATCCCGTTGCTTCTCTGAGAGGGCAGAGCCAGAGGGAGTGCAGGACGCCTGCGCTTTCCCTTTGTTTGGTATTTCTGAGCAAAGGCTCTCACTCCTTGGGAAGACTGTGAGAGCTGTGCCTGTGACACCCAGGGCTGGCATCTCACGGTACCCACCCCCACCCTGGGCACTTCCTGGGATGCCAGGACTTTGCTCTGAGGGGGCTGTCAGGTAGGCTGTGGACTTGGCCCATTTGGAGAGCATCTGCTGAGGCCCCATGCTGGAAGGCAGTGAGCCAGGAGCCCTGCTGGAGACAGAAGCCACTGCTCGGGGCAGTGCATCGCACTCACAGGGTGGAGGGTAAGAGACACAGCTGGGAGGCTTTGACCCAGCCATCCCCTCACCCGCCGCAGCTGAATTAGTGGGATTCCCTTGGCCCCTCCTCGCAGCCTCGCTGAACAGAAAACCAAAACTCAGCAACCACAAGACAGTTTTGAGTTGGAGATGGTTCTGAGGAGAACTTCTGATGATTGCCTTTTAATTTTTAAATTTAGATCAAGGTAATACTCTTCTATTGGGAATCCAGGGGCCTGGAGATGTTTCTGTATCATTAGAGGAGGGGATGAAGTGGGTTTGAACCCTAGTGGGTGTGTGTGTGTAAACTGAGTCTTACAGCCATGCAGAGGGGCTCCTTGCCTCCCAAAGCCTAGGCACTCCGGAAAAGGCACACACAGGGGTGAGAGCTGAGCTAGGCACACCAGGGAGAGAGAGAGTGTGTGTGTCTGTGTGTGTGTGTGTGTCTGTGTGTGTGTATGTGTGTGTGTGTGTGTGTGTCTCTGTGTGTATCTGTGTGTGTGTGTCTGTGTGTGTGTGTGTGTCTGTGTGTGTGTGTGTGTATCTGTGTGTGTGTGTGTCTGTGTGTGTGTGTGTGTATGCTGTGTGTGTGTGTGTGTGTGTATCTGTGTGTGTGTGTGTGTGTGTGTGTCTCTGTGTGTATCTGTGTGTGTGTCTGTGTGTGTGTGTGTGTCTGTGTGTGTGTGTGTGTCTGTGTGTGTGTGTGTATCTGTGTGTGTGTGTGTCTGTGTGTGTGTGTCTGTGTGTGTGTGTGTGTCTGTGTGTGTGTCTGTGTGTGTGTGTCTGTCTGTGTGTGTGTCTCTGTGTGTGTGTGTGTGTGTGTGTGTGTCTGTGTGTGTGTGTGTGTGTGTGTGTGTGTGTGTGTAGAGAGAGATCAGGAGGGCTGCGATGAATATCCTGGATGGGGCAGAATAAAGAAGCACTTGCCTCTCTCTGGAGAGATGCCGTGGACAGAGGCAGGTGAGGTTGAAACCACATTGACTTGGAGATTGCTAGGTGAGACTTTCAGGGCAAGCAGAGTGGACTTCTGCAGGAAGAGCTCTTGTGACACACAAATCTCCACACAAGGCCGCCACCTCAGGAAGGCTGCACCTCTGTCCCAGGCAATGAAGCTCTTCCTCCGTGCTTACTTGAACCCGTGTTCCAGCATGAAACACACTCCTGTCATGGGGAGTTCATGCTCCATGTACCGACTAAGGAGGAGCTCCTTCTGTCTATCTTGATATTCCCAGCGCTTAGCAGACACAGGCACTCAAATACGGAATAGCCAGTGAGCAACTGAGTTAATTGAATGATCAAATTTTTGAAATGCAAATTTGCTGTTAGGAGTCTTGGGTTTACTTCTATCATTGCAGAGTTGGTCTCCTGAATTTCCCCTGATAGTGTTCCCCAGCCTCACATGACTGTACATTATCTAGGACAACATTAAGTACCAACTGAATGCAGGCACCGCTGGGGATATAACTCAGAAAGCTTTGCCATGATTCTGCTCTTAAGCAGGTTAGCTGACTAACTAGTTCAAACTCTGTTAAAGTCTTGAAACAGACTCAGAGCCAAGAAATTAGATGACAAATTTCCAGCGGATAGTTTGAGGCTCCCTTGCCTTGGTGTGAAGTGAAGATCTGAGCCACCCACAGGAGTGTTGGAACACAGTGCCATCATCCAGGAGTAAAGGGAGCCCGTCCTGGTGCTCCGACGACTGCAAACTAATCCTTGTAAGCCGATCTGCTTAGCAGAGTACTAGAAAGAGAGAAAATCTAAGGCAAGATAAAAATATATCTATGGTATTTAACATAGGTGGTGGTTGGAGATGTCAGCACGTACACGTTACACAAGAGGCATAGTATTCCCCAGAAAGCCCAACTTGGAGGTTTGTAAATCATGTCAGAGTTCAGGTCTCCTACTTGTGACTACATGCTGTTGTACAGGTCATAGATTTTGAGCCTCAATTTTCTTGCCTCAGATGACTGTGAGGTGATGAGAATCAGGGATGTGCAAACCTGCTGTATCTGTTGCAGTGTTCTTAAAGTGGCAAGTGTCATGCACTGTAGACCAAGAGCATATTCTTTTGCTGTCTAGACTCATTTCCAATTATGCAGTGCCTTCCCACATCCTCTCTCCCACTTGTTGATGGTACCTGTTCTTTGTTCCCCTGCTGCTCTCTGACAGTAAGCAGAGATGAGTTGGAGAGACCCTAGAATATCAAGACACCCAGACCGTCCTTCATACCGCTCTGCCAAAGGCCAGAGATAGCAGTCAAGGGGTAGGGGGACCCAGAGAAAGATCAGGTGATATCTGTGGAGGCCCCTTTTTTTTTTTTTTTTTTTTTTTGAGACTGGTTTCATTCTTGTTGCTTCAGGCTGGAGTGCAATGGCGCAATCTTGGCTCCTCACGACCTCCGCCTCCTGGTTCAGTGATTCTCCTGTCTCAGCCTCCCAGTAGCCAGTTTGACTTGTGCTACACGCCGGATAGTTTTTGTATTTTTTAATAGAGAGGGTTTCATCATATTGGTCAGGCTGGTCTCCGGTCTGATCCACCGCCTCAGCCTCCCGAGCGTGCTGGGATTACAGACCATGAAAAGCCACCGTGCCACGGCTGAGCCCTCTTAAGTACACTCTGCCCTGGATGGCTGCCAGTTGTTCTAGTCTGTATAAAACCTGGATTCAGGATTCCTCACACCCAGGGCACGAGGCCTGAGACAAAACCTTGAATGAGGACCTTAGAAACCTGAATCTATACATTCTTTCACTTATTAGCCCTGCAACCATTAGTAAGCCTCTTGCCCTTTTGGGGAGTTCCTCAGTTTCTTCTTTTGTAAACCGAGGAAATATAGAAAAAGTTCTTGGGTGCCTAAAACTAAATGTAAGTTATGAGTTACAACTTCTTCCTCTTTCAACAAAGGGTAGATGGGGATCCCGGCTAATCCTGCTGAATCCAGGAGGCACAGAAGCCATGGCCATGGGGCTTAGTTTCAGCACAAGTTCTCATCCTGGAGACCAGAGGTGTGGTAGAACCCAGTGGACTTCTGTATGAGATGATCACGTGGTACATGTTCTTGACCTAACTCCCCAAAGATTTTCATTTTAGGACCTGCGTATTCAGTGAAAAAGCTTTGCATTAATTTTGTTCTTTTTTTTCTGTTATCGAGCAGCATTGGTGGTCCTAGAAAATTACTGGTTACCATCTATAACCCAAACCTCCTAACAGCCTCCAAATTCAGAGCAGCCAAGCACATGGCTGGGCTGAGAAAGTCTACAATGTAGATGGTATGTGCCTTGAAAATTGTCTGCAGTGCTCATAGAGGCACAGTTGGTATTCTTCAGCTTCATGAATCACGTTGGTTCTTCCTCTCTGGGCCTACCTTTATGGTACATTCTCGTTTCAGAACCATTCTCTATTTTATGTAGGCAGACACATTTTTAGAGAAGTGTTGATTTACCATCTACCTATGGAAGCCTGTTCATTTTGAGATTTTATGATTAAGCAGCAGTGATGTGTGTGTTCCTGCCTTGCCAGAGCTCACCTTATATTGGAAGCTATTAGGAAAGGTTGCTTTTTCAAAATTTATGCACATTACCTGAACTCAAAGCTACCTAAATCATTAAGACTAGAAATCTCAGTAGTTCAGGCATCTGGTGAGATACCTACAGGCACTTCTTACTCGTGGCTGGGGCCGGAGTTGAGTGGGTGGCAGGAGGCTGGAGGCCAGACTGGGTAAGTCCAAGCTATGTTTCAGGGTATCAGATGGTTAAGTGCAAGAAACAGGATGCGGTGTCATTTCTTACTGGGTACACTGGGTGAGGCAAGAACTTTGACCTCAGAGAGGTTATATTGTCAACGAGTCAAGTGATTTATATACAGTGTCAATTTTTGGTGGTAATATCCTCCCAGTTATTTAATTGTTTATTTTTTGGCTATATGAGGTGTGAGCTCCCTCACGAAGCCTGAAAGATTGGTAAATTTAATCTGTGATCTGAAAACTTAGCAAAGATTCCCACTAGTGAAACCAAGTCACCAGCCAAGTAGATCATCCATAGAAAGCCCAGAAATCTTTCTGTTTCTGAAAGTTAAGGTGGTCAATGGTTGGGACAGGACAAGGACTTCTGGGTCTGTGTATTCATTAATGGGTCATTAATATTGGTATTTCCTGTAAAGTTAGCTGCCATGACATTTCCAGCATAGCTTGGCCATTGTAGACTCAGTGTCTCATGTCCTTTGACTTTCTTTTTTGTCTGTCTGTCCTTGTTCTCCCCATCCCTCTCATTCTTCTCATTGTCTTGTTGCTGAAATTTGATGTCAGATGCCATATGGCCAAACTGAAACTTTATGTAACAGATGGTATCTTCTTTACCTCTGTGTGTTGTTTTTGGCCAACATTTTAATTGTCAAGCATTCTTCATCCCCTTCTGAGTTCTTTTTTCCATTTCCACTGACCAGATTGGGGGTTTGAGAATTCACTCTGCTCTCTTGCCTTGGACATAGTGAATGCGGATCGGGCACAGTTTACCCTCTGCGAAGTGACCTTTAGTATTGTGTATGTGTGTTTCATGGGGATGGGTAGACAACATTGACAGATTAACGTTACTAGTTTTCTGCTCTGTTTCCCAGCCTTGTGGTATTAACACTATTCTTTCACTGTCTTCCCCGAAGGCCCCAGTAACAATGCTTGCTGGCCAGTCCGGGCCAGCGAGTTGCTTGCAACTGCTCGCGCAGAGACTCAAACCTAATAAACTGTAATACGAAGAGCTAGACACAGAAGCAGCGAAATAAGAAGCGGGAAAAGCAAATGCTCTGCCCTCCTGATGAAATTACCCCTCTACAGACTTTTGAATTTTATTTTTATGTATTATTGTTAGAAACAAAATCTCACCCTGGCCAATAGGCTGCGGAGTACCTTGTTGGCAAGATCTTTTCTCTGCCTCTGCCTCCCAGGTTCAGTGATTCTCATGCCTCAGCCTCCCCGTAGCTGGGATACAGCGCCTACTACCACGCCCAGCTAACATTTGAAGTATTTTTAGTAGAGGGGTTTTGCTATGTTAGCCCAGACTGTTCTCAAACTCCTGACCTTAAGTGATCTGCCTGCCTCAGCCTCCCAAAGTACTGCGATTACAGGCATGAGCCACCATGCCCGGCCTCTTGTAGACTTTTAATCTTTCCTTTTTTACCACTAGACTGGGAGTTTTCTGTTTAAAAACATGACCTGTGAGGACACACTCTGGAGTGCACCTCCAGTGTTTCTTAAACTGGAAAGGCTATATATGAGAGCATCACTGGGAGGGCTGTTCAAATACAGGATGCAGGTTCGGCTCTGCCTGCAGCCTACTCGGTAGGTAATGAGTTGGGCCCAGAAATGGCATTTCTAACAGATTCCTGGAATTAGTACTGGTCCTCCTGGGCCCCTGCCCACACTTGAGTGGGCCTGTTCTGCCACCCTGGACCCTTGCGGTGTTCACCATCAGGTCATATTCACTGAAGGGGACAAGTGGCTCCGTCATGTGTGCTGTGCCTCTTCCTGTTCCCAGGGGCTGCTAGTGTGGGTGGCGGACCAGGGAGCATGCAGCTCTGCTTCTTTGAGGCTGCTTCTGCCTACCAACCACCTCTGTCTGTGCAAGTCTTTTATAGCCAGTTGGAGAGGCCTTAGAACTCTTTTCATCTAACCATTGCAGAGATGAAAAAAGGACTTAAGTGCATTTCCCAAGCTCATTGGTGACAGAATTGAGAACAGAGTTTCATCTCTCCCAGTCCTGGGGCTCTTTCCCCCGACACCTGAGGCCCCTGTTTACATCATTATTTTTATGGCCTTTTCTTTCTCCCTTACCTATCCCTCTCTCCACCTCTGGGGAGTACAGCTAAGGAGGATGCAAGCAGCCGTGATTGGGCTGAATATATTTGGCAGGTCAGGCCACAGCAGGGTGGACAAGTGTCATTCTATTCGCACACCCTGTGGCAGGCACCATCCTAATTACTTAGTGTTGCATCACCTTCTAGGCTGGTGGTTGCAGTGGAAAGGGCTTCATCACATTCCAGCGTCTCCAGGTCGAGGAGCAGCAGAAAGCCCAGGAGGTGATGGACCCTAGGGAGGCCGCCCAGGCCATTTCCACCTCCATGGCCAGGGCTCTCCCAGAAGTGCCTGCGCACCACCCGGCAACACTACCCACAGCATGGAGCAACTCCTGCAGCACCCAGCCTTCTGCATCTGTGGCATGACCCCAAGGTGCGCTGCTCTGGGCGGGCTCTGCCGTCATCTGCAGCCATCTGACAGCCAGTTGAATTTTAATATTACAGTGATAAAATCGAAGGCTTCTCGTCAAGTAATAAGAAATTAGTGATTCTCACCGCTGTCTTTTATGTTAGTACAATTGTTTTTTTAAATATGCCTTTCGAAGGCCTCTGGATTCTAACAGAGGAGAGAATTTCACTTGCAGACAGTACGGAATAGTGATTGGAATGATACAGAATAGTGATTAGGGGTGCATTATGGACTCTGGAGCTGAACTGATTCATTCTAACCTGGCTTCTCCACCAACTAGATGCATAATATGGGCATAGCAGTAGCTCTGTGCCTCGTTTCCCTAACTATTGTGGTGGTTGAGATAATGCTAGTAACTATCTCATTTGTATGTTTGGGAACTGAAAGAGAGTTAATTCATGTAAAGTGTAGGCATTACCTGTCATATGTGAGGATGGACTAAATAGTTATTGTTATTATTGGTAAATAGAATGGCATGAACCCAGGAGGCGGAGCTTGTGCGGTGAGCCAAGATCGCTGCCACTGCCGCTAGCCTTCAGCCTGAGCAACAGAGTGAGACTCCATCTTAAAAAAAAAAAAAAAAAAAGCCATCAGGCATTTTTGGGCATTACAAGAATGAGTTTTACAGTGGTCTTTTAGATTATGATATTTAGGACACCTTAAGAGTGTTACAAGAAACAGCCATGGAGTATCTAATAGAGGTTGTAGCCGAGGCAAAATAGAGTAAAGATATAGCAATTGACCTACCTCTACAGAGGTAGGTTCATCCTAGCTCCACCACTTGAATTGGTTTGTGACTGTATGGAGATTATTCTACCTTCTATTAGATCTACATATTTCTGTTTCTTAATACTCTAAAAATTCATGCTAAATACCACATAATCTAAAAATAGTAATGAAACTAACTCATGCTTTTAAAAATACCTGACAAACTAATAACATTATTTTTGCCAATAATGTATGTAGTTGATCTAGCCTCTTCATATGATAGGTAGCGTTTAAGTACGTCACATGGAATTAACTCTCAGTTCACTCTACATGGTATTTGTTCTTGTATCGTAGGATAATAATAATACCTCTCTATTGGGGTTGTTGTGTAAATTTTACATTAAATATAGCAACATGGCATACTTTCGTTGCATGGTAGAGAGTAGATGAGCTTGGCATGTATGTGTGTAACATTTGGTAGCTGTTTTTATAAGGACCCACTCTGTTTATCGCTGCACTATATGTGTATCCTGCTGGTTACATTGTCAACCATTAACTACCCTTAGGAAAGCAATGTAGAAATAGTAAAAACCAAAAGTTTTCTGTATTGACTCACTGATCTCTCTAGGAAAGCTATTTAATACAACAATACTTTACATGAATAACACAAAGGTGGTGTTTTGCAAACAATCTTGTAAATACTTCCACGAGAATAATTTAAAACATAACAGTGACTTATAGTGTAGTGTATCTACCATTGAATCATGAAAGAATCTGTTAGAATAGTAAGTTACAAGAAATAGAATTCAGAAACGTGTGAATACTGTGGTTGCAAATGAGGAAAATATGTCTGCAGGTATAAAATGATGGCTTATACCATATAGAACCAAAACAGTTATTTTCTTTTCTGAATTTTAAGTTTCCTGGTTGCTTTTTGTTTCATTTAAAAATTTCATCGTTTCTAGTTAAAATAGTAAGCTGTTTTGGCATAAATCCAAACATTAAAGAAAGTATCATATGCGGAAAATGATTTCATCCCCCTCCCAAAACAGTTTTACGGATAAGGAGTTGGTATATATTCTTTCAAATATCTATGGATGTTTTTATGCTGAATTAGGAAAACAAAACAGAAATGGGGTCATTTATCTTTCTCTATAAATCTCTGTGTGTGTGTGTGTGTGTGTGTGTAAACCACAGGCACATGCCACCATCCCTAACAATTTTTGTATTTTTGTATTTTTTGGTAGAGACATGGTTTGCCATGTTAGTCCAGGCTAGTGCCAGAACTCTGAGCTCAAATAATCTACCTGCCTCAGCCTCACAAAGTCACTAGTATTACAATTACTGCCCAGCCTATATATATCATTGATTGATTGATTGATAGCCTATACTATATCATTCATGAGTGGATGAAGATTGCATACCATCTCTCTATATAATGTATATTCTCTTTTATGTAGAGATATAGATACCTGGCTACCTTTTTGCCAGCTATCCCATATATCTTTCCAAGTGGTACATACAGATCTTACTCCACAGTCTAACTACAGATAAAACTCATTTCTGGTAATAGCTACATCTTATTCTACCAAATACCATGATTTATTCAGCACAGTTGTGTTGATGCATTTTGGATTAAGAGTTTTCATTGTAATCAAAGCTAGAGCTGGTTATGTTTGTTATCAGATTTCTGGCACACACCCAGCCATGCCCTGTTATTATATCACCTATGGCTGCTTTCACTCTGCACCAACAGAGTTGAGTAGTTGTGACAGAATATGGCTTGGAAATGCAGAAATATTTACATCTCTATGGAAAAGTTGCCAACCTAGTTTAAACAACATTGAGGTAGAATGCTTTTTATATGTATTTGTACAAATATTTCTGATAGGTTTAAAGTAGAAAGCTTCAGTCGCGTTGTAGATCCTGCAAACTGCCTTCCTCAGGGGTGTTCCTTTGCATGCTGCCTCTAACATCCTGAGATTTTTATTTCCCACATGCTGGGAGCATTGGATGTTATTGTTTTAAATCATTGCCCATCTAGAGGAGAGTGGATTTTGAATTCTTCTGATTTATATTTCTTCTTCTTTTTTTTTTTTTGAGATGGAGTCTTGCTCATCACCCAGCCTGGTGCAGTGTGTCTCGGCTCCTGTAGCTCCACCTCCCAGGTTCACCATTCTCCTCATCCTCCCGTGGCTAGGAATACAGGCGCCTGTCATCCACACCTGGCTAATTTTTGTATTTTTAGTAGAGATGGGGTTTCACCATGTTGGCCAGGCTGGTCTTGAACTCCTGACCTCGTGATCTGCCCGCCTCAGCCTCCCAAAGTGCTGGGATTACAGGCGTGAGCCACCATGCCCAGCCTATATTTCTTTAGTTAATAATGTTATAGAACAATTTTTTCTTTTTTCTTTTTTTTTTTTTTTGAGATGAATCTCTATGCCTTAGGTCAGTGCAGTGGCACTATCTCGGCTCACTGCAAGCTCCGCACTCCAGTTCACGCCATTCTCCTGCCTCAGCCTCCCAAGTAGCACTGGACTACAGTGCCCGCCACCACACCCAGCTAATTTTTTTGTATTTTTAGTGAGAGGATTTCACGTGTTATTTTTTTTTTTTTTTGTATTTTTAGTAGAGAGGGGATTTCACCGTGTTAGCCAGGATGGTCTCGATCTCCTGACCTCGTGACCTACCTGCCTCAGCCTCCCAAAGTGCTGGGATTACAGGCGTGAGCCACCACACCCTTCTGATAGAAAAATTTTTATATGCTAACTTTCCAATAATATTTATTCTTCTATAAAATTATTGTTTCAGTTTCATTTCTCCAATTGTTGAGTTATTTTCTTTTTCTTATGAGTCATAAGAGCTATATTTATATTAGCAGTGTGAGAGTATGCAAGGCCTTACTTTCTGCCTTACAATAGATGCTCCACATGAAAAATAGACCTGGCAGTAGCAGCAGGGTGTGAATAAAAGAGGATACCGGGCCAGGCGCAGTGGCTCACACCTGTAATCCCAGCACTTTGGGAGGCTGAGGCAGATCAATCACCTGAGGTCAGGAGTTCGAGACCAGTCTGGCCAACGTGGTGAAACCCCATCTCTACTAAAAATACAAAAAAAATTAACCAGGCATGGTGGTGCATGCCTGTAATCCCAGCTACTCAGGAGGCCGAGGCAGGAGTATCACTTGAAATGGGAGGCAGAGGCTGCAGGGAGCTGAGATCATGCCATTGCACTCCAGCCTGGATAACAAGAGTGAAACTCTGCCTCAAAAATAAAAAGAGGATACTAGTTAAAAACTGTTCTTGGCCGGGCGCAGTGGCTCACACCTGTAATCCCAACACTTTGGGAGGCCAAGACAGGCAGATCACTAGTGGTCAGGAGTTCAAGACCAGCCTGGCCAACATGGTGAAACCCCATCTCTACTAAAAATACAAAAATTAGCCAGGTGTCGTGACATGTGCCTGTAATCCCAGCTACTTAGGAGGCTGAGGCAAGAGAATCACTTGAACCTGGAGACGGAGCTTGCAGTGAGCTGAGATTCTGCCACCTCTAGCCTGCGCAACAGAGTGAGACTGTCTCAACAGAACAAAATCTGTTCTTGACTCTGTCTGGGACCTGATTGATATATTCCAGTATGTTTCTATCTGTATTACTGGCTCATTTCATTCTTCCTTCCCCTCATGGCTAAATCAGTGTATTTATTTGATTTCATTCACATGCTGTTGAACTCCTAGTATGTGCTATGCACATTAGAAATTCAAATTTAAAAAAAAAATACTTCCTGCCCTTCAAGAGAGTGAAGTGTAGTGTGGGGAGCGGACACGCAAGTCAACAATCACTTCGAAAGTAAAGGGTCACACGAGAGTCAGTGATTACAGGAACCTGGAGGAGCACATGCTAATCTGCCTGAGAGGTTCAAGAGAGGAGGCTTAAGAAGATTTGAAGGGCAGGGAAGAATGAGCTGAATGACAGTGTTTAGCTGGAGGAACAGCACATGTATCAGAACTCTATCCAGCCAGGTGCCACTGGAGCAGAGAACTCAGGAGAGGGAAGGGGGCATCAGGCCTGGACATCTCCTGGACTGGCCGTGTGCACACTTAGCCCAACATGGAATAACCATTGCTTGCTTACCATGCCAGGCATTGCTATGAGTGCTTTTTGAGAGCTAACACTTTCATCCTCATGGCAGCCCTGTGACTCAGGTAGTGTCACTGCGTCCACTAATAGAGAGTGTAAATGACTTGTGCAGAATCACTGCCAATAAGTGGTAGATCATGCATTCTTGTTCATGCAAATATATTCAGCTCGTATTTCCTGACTGCTCCTTTGGGCCCGACATGGCCCTGGCCCTGAGAAACTTTTGGTTCAAGAGGATGAAGACATGGAGAAACACATCCAGTAGGGCCATACCCTAAGAATGGAGTGATGCAGCCATAACGGCTTCCAGCCAGACACTGACCCCAGCCACCCCATTTTCCTTCCCCTCCATGGGTACCACTATGCTTGCCCTTGGTGGGTAGTAGGTAAAGGGGAGTGAAGAAGTCCAAGAAGTCTTCCCTCCCCAGTAATGACTCAGTTGTGAGGATCTGATGGGAATTCAGTGTGATGAGCTGGGCTCTGGTCTAAGCTGGTTTATTTGGAAAAAGTTCTTTATAGGTGTGAGAGTGGTTAGCCGCCTAGCCAGGACTGCCCTTAAAACGAGCTGTTTCTTCCCTAATAGCCTTTCTCCTCTGCTTCCAGGCCTTCCTAGAACGGTACCTCATTGCGGGCCCCACCCTGCAGTATGACAAGGACCGCTGGCTCTCTACACAGTGGAGGCTTGTCAGTGACGAGGCTGTGACTAATGGATTACGGGATGGAATTGTGTTCGTCCTTAAGTGCTTGGACTTCAGCCTCGTAGTCAATGTGAAGAAAATTCCATTCATCATACTCTCTGAAGAGTTCATAGACCCCAAATCTCACAAATTTGTCCTTCGCTTACAGTCTGAGACATCAGTTTAAAAGTTCTATATTTGTGGCTTTATTAAAAAAAGAAGAAAAATATATAGAGAGATATATATCTATGCCAGAGGGGTGTCTTTTTTAAAAAATTCTTCTTCATTGCTGACTGAAACTGGCAGATGATTGACCAGTATCCCTTGACCATCTGCACTTTATTTGGAAGGAAGCAGGGGTTGTCCACCCTGAAAAAAAGTGACTGATGACATCTGACTTTTGTCGATGAGACTTCTCAAGAAGCCGTTCCCTGGAGCTTCTGTTACAGCTGTAAACCAAAGTGGAGCTGGTGCTTCTTGGGAGCCTCGCCTTACAACAACTAGTTCCTGCCTTTTGTCCAGTACCACGTCCCCCGTTGCTTCTGGTCAGCCCACTTGTAGACTTCCAGGGGACACATCTTTATTCTGTTTCAGGAAACCAGTCACGACACGTCCACATATGTATTTGTGTATGTTAATGTCCAGTATCACATCACCCACGAAAGTCGTAGGCAGTTCAGGAGATACCTGCCTTCGTCTTTGTTCTTTGTTGCCTTAGGTTCTTCAGAGAAAGATCACAACAAAAAAATGTGCACTGTCGTTTACAGCTATTAAGTGGTTTGATTTTGTTTTTTTCCCAAAGAGAAAACCTACACGCCCTGTTTCTGATCCCACCCCTCTCCTGGCTTGAAGCAGGTAGCCCTTTCCCAGCCCTGCAGCTGCCCACCTGGCCTCCATGCCGTCCTGCCCCCACCTGGCTGGCAGCCCTGGCTCTCCATGTGTGCCCTCCAGCTCTTTGTGAAGACTCAAGTCAGTCCCAGTATTGTTTCCATATTGAAGTGCGGGGTGCCCAGCAGGTAAAGCACAGGGAGAGCAGGCAGCGGAAATGCCCCGTTTAGGCTGCAGCAGGAGCCCCACACTGCCCAGTTTTCCTCCCCACTGCTCTACACCAACCAGGGGAGACTAACACTGTGACTCTGGGATTGGCAGGTGCAACTTGGAGCCACTTAATTTCCTGGGGAGGTAAGTTCTCCCCGAGATTATAGCAAGCTGCCCTGCCAAGGGAGACCAAACCATGCCAACCATGCTGGCAACTGCTGCTCTCCGGTCCCTGTGTTTTCTGACCACAGTCACTGTGCAACTCATCGCCTCTGCCACTCAGGACCAGGAAGGGGGCTGGTTTTTGCTCCCACTCTTAGTTGCTGATAAAGTGGGGAGAAGGAAAATGGACACTCTACAGAGTTTGGGGAAACAAGAGTAGGGAGCCCATCTTCTTGTCCAGAAAGATTCACCTGTGGTCTGTCTGTTAAACACAGCTGATTTCAGTGGGCTTTCCTCTGGTCCTGGGGGAGCAGACACTGGGTTGTGGGCAGAGGAGCCATCCTGGCGGAGCCCTGCTGCAGGGGAGCTCCTTCAGGAGCCCCATCCGGACCTCTTGCACTGGGCTGCCTTTGCCTCCATTTGCCTTCTTGTATCTGCAACAAACCTTTGAAAGTGTTCACTCTTGTTTTTCCCAGTATTTCGGGTAATCAGCCACCTTGCTGTAGTACAGGATGACTCTTTGTATGTGTGCACACCCCCTTACTCCCTTACTGCTTCATGCACTGCACAAGTGGTACAGTATTTTGTGTCATTGTAAAAATCAAAATTGGCTTTGGATCTTTGTAATACACCTGTACCTGAAAAAGTAAACAACATTCTTCAATCACCAGCCTTCAGCTTGAAAAGACATGCTGGAGAAGAAGGAAGGGGGAGCCCATAGGTGTGGCAGGGAGCCAAGATGTACTATTCAACTATGTGGTTCTGTTTATAAAAAACACATACCATGGAACCATGGTGTTTTGTTCTTAGTTTTTGCTGTTAGATCCCTTCAAACTGGAAGTTCCTTATAATGTCTTTCTCAGGAAATATTTTGGGAGATGGGGAAAGGGATGGCAAGTGTGAGATGGGCTGTGTCAGAGGTTGCTACGTCATGGATACAGAGCAGTTCCAAGTGCCATAAGTGTATATACATATAGTTAATAATGACACTGTTCATCACCATTCTAAAATACTGTTCTTCCAACCCTATCTTAAATGACCAGTCCAGAAGGGGTTAAACTGGATTCACTTGCTCTGGCATGTGCATTCCCAGCAGGGTGAAGAAAAGTTTAAATTAAAGAATTTATTTTCTCTCTGCCCCTTCCTCTTTCTCCCAGTCTTTGCATAGGAGAATGTCAGACGTTCAGAAATTACTGTTTCTATTTTAAATTGAGTATTGATTTTTTTACATTGACTTTGTATTGAGTTCTTTTTGAAAGAATAACAAAATAAAATGCAGGATCTTTGTAAAGCCTTTGCACTTTCAACCTCTTTATAGCTTGAGTTACTGTTGCAGTGGGAACAATGTAAATGACATTTAAAAGATTTAAGGTTTCAGAAAGCTGCATCCCACAATTGAACACAATGCGTTTTTATTTCAATTATTGGAACTGGTAGGCTATTCTTTTTAAAAGGGGATAAACTTTGCCCTAAGGCTAGTAGAACATACGTTCATATTATAGGAGACAGGATTTCATTTGCCTTAAATGTTTATATTTTTTACAATTTTCAACCTACATTATTAAAATTAGAGCATTGAGTGTTAAAGAACTTAGTGAGGAGTCTATGTCTGAGATTGCTCTCTTCCCTGGTGATGTTTTAACTGGTAGACAATTTGTTTTTAAATGTGTACTTTTGAAGATAGGACAATTTTTATAGTCCATGAACTGAATGTTAAAAAGTTCTGTATGCATTCTCAGAGAGGATTTTAAAGCTATATAGTTCATCAATCCTTTGCATTATCAAAATGTTAAGTTAAATGCGTAATACTTTGGCTAGAATTCATAAAGTAAGCCCTAGAGAAAATACTTGACCACCAATTTTTTGCCCAACTCTCATCACCTCCCTTTCCCCACCCCCGCCTCTGTTCTTCCCTTTTGACATCTACATAGAAGACAAGTTCTTTATAGCAAATGGTAAGAGGCAGGTGACCTGGTGTGTTTGCTGTGTTGTAGTACATTGCCTGGGGCTTGGGACTCCTTTTTTAATGGAGAGACTGGCTGTGCAGGTGTGTGTTGGATAGGGATGAAGTGCTCACCCCTCCCCTCTCTTCAATAGTTGGGGTAGATTTCTCTCCCATTTTGCCTCTCATAATCACTTTCGAGTGCATGTATTTACCTAAGGGCTGTAGCTCTGTGGGATGCTACCAGCATATTGGACTGACAGAAATTGATTACCTTGCCACTCCAACCCACGTACTGAGTGAATGTTCTAGCCACTCAGTGAAACCAACAAAAGTGAGTCCTTGGTTTACCTTCCAATCTGGGCCCTGCTGTGTAAGTATCCCTAGGTAGGAATGCATATTTGTTTGTGCGTTTTTATTTCCATATACATGAGCATTTCTCTGAGTGTATTACCCCATGGATAGCACATTCACATGTCAGACATCTTAACGTGTGTTATCTGTAGCAGATAGGTGCATAGCTCAGCAGGTACGTGTGAATGTGTAGATAGCTGAGTGTGTGAGGGTGTCTGTGTTTCTGCAGTCCCCTGTGTTTGAGAGATTACCTAATAACCCTGTGTTTTGGGAGGTCACTCTAAACCAGTGACTTTTCCCTCCCCTGCTTTATTCCTTTCCCTCACTGACACTGGCTTCTCCCCCTAGAGTAAATGGCTTTAGCACAGCACTGTCTTCTGGGGAGCCTGCTGTCCTGCAGGCAAGTCCATTAAACTCTTTCTTGCTTTAGGACTCTGAAAACAACAAGAAACAAACAAAGAAAGGTCAAGATCTAAGAAAATTACTGCACAAACTTCGCTACCCTGGAAGCCTTACTAGATATTTCTTAAGGTAACTTAAAAACTGGGCTTTATTTTTAAAAAGTGATAGGTTAGTTAAAGTAGCACAGAAATGTTAGCATATTTATTTAAATAGTCCTGCAGCAGAGACCCTGCGATTGTAAAGTGATTTAAGTATTTCTGGGTAGTGTTTGTGATTTATGGATTTGTTACCAAAAAACAAAAAAAAATCACTACTGTGAATTTACTACTATGTAAACTTGTGGTCATATATCATTATAAATAAAATAAGAATTGCTCTTCCGCCCACCGTTCTTGATTGGTATTCAGTGCAGTAGTGAAATGAGATAGTTTGGACACTGTTGAAATAGCTGTATTGAGCTTTAACCAAGTGTATGCTCAGAAAATTCGGTTTGGGATCACATTTTGAGAAAACATGTTTTGGTCAAAGAAAGGAACGGCTACTAACACAATTATCAGGTATTGTATATTACAGTCCGTGTCCCACTCAGCCTTGTTATCCCCACATTCTTTCAAGATTGGAGTTATCTTGGTTTTTCAGGTGAAAAAAGGAAGATCAGAGAGGAAGGGGCTGGTTCAAGGTCTCATGGCTGGTTGACAGAATTTCAAACTAGATGTTTGATTCTAAGCCCTCAGTCCACTGTACCTTGAAGTATGGTCTAAATGATTTGGCGCTTCCGGATGTTGAGGAAGGACCTAGAGACACATCCTTGAACTAGAACCTGGTGTGGGAGTTCATTGGGAGGCAGGATCTCTTCTTTCACTTTGTTTTACACCTTGTCCCTTGGAAAGCTTCTCCACTATGCTAGCAAATATCTTAGGATATTTGATGGAAAGAAGTTGAGAATCCCCCTTCCTTCTGGAAAACCCAGCCCTGCCAGGGTTGCACCTACCGCAAGACAGGGATGCTGTTGTTCTGGCAACCCCCCTTTGCTTTTGCCTGGCCCCACCTGCTCCCACTCTGCTGGCTCGGGCGAGATGCGTGCCTTCGGCCTTGGGTGAAGGGAGGTAGGCAGGGTCTTGACCTGGCCTCTCTCTGGTGCCATGGCAACATTATGCCTCAGCTTTCTTCCCTGGTTGAAGTGAGAGGGGCTGTCCACAGCCCCATCCTGGGGGGATCTCAAGCCAGAGTCCCTGGCCTGGCCTCCTTGATATAGGTGTTCTCAGCAAGCAGTTTGCACGTCCCACTGTTTTTCCCACACTTGCCCCCAAGACTTTGGACGGCGCAGACGTAAAACAGGGCTCGGAAAACCATTTTTCTCTATTCCCATATGTAGTAAGTTTTGATTCAGTTGTGCATAAACCATGGTTTTCTGCCCTGCTGTTTGCTTTCAATGGAAGACAGTAAAGGGAAGATGGTGCTCACGTCTCTCCACATGACATCTCATTAGGAATTAAGATGCAATGGATTAGAAATGTAAAACTTCAGAATAAAATTAAATTTTAGGGCTCTAAGTCCCGTTTTCCTGGGTCCTGTTCCATTTCTACGTAGATAACCCAATTTGTTTTGTCTATTAAATAAGTCTCTTTAGTGGGTGGTTTTAGAGTGTCCAACAAAAAAAGAACAGATGCCTAAAGCCAGGTGCAGCACCATGAAAAGTTTCTTTCAATATGGCACCAAGACTCTACCATTTATGTCTGTCTCAGCTTACAAACATCAGCATTTTGTCCTTGTCATAGTGGAAGAAAGACATTATTTTAAGCTTTGGGGACAAATGTGACAAACCCCAGGTTTTTATCTTAAAAGTGTCTTTGGCACTTCTTTTGGCACTGAAATGGTATGTGTATAACATTATTTGAATGTACAGTTGTTTGGTTTTGTGTGTGCTTATCTTTTTTTTTTTTTTTTTTTTTTGAGACGGAGTCTCGCTCTATCACCCAGGCTGGAGTGCAGTGGCACGATGTCGGTTCACTGCAAACTCCGCCTCCCGGGTTCACGCCATTCTCCTGGCTCAATTTTTTGTATTTTTAGTAGAGACAGGGTTTCACCGTGTTAGCCAGGATGGTCTCGATCTCCTGACCTTGTGATCCGCCCGCCTCGGCCTCCCAAAGTGCTGGGATTACAGGCGTGAGCCACCGCACCCGGCCTGTGTGTGCTTATCTGTATCTGAGCTTTCACTTGTGGGCATGGCATTTTGTTGTAAAGTTGCTCATCATTTAGCAGTGTTTAATTCTAAAAAGCCCTCTGCCTAAGAAAGCTTCGCCTGTGGGGACCAGAGACTGTTGCTCAGGGAATTAGTGACGGGACTTGGGCATCTGATCTGCAGGTGACAAGTTTAGTTCAACTGATGTTGTAGGGAATTTAGACAGTTGCACATCATCGCCATTCTAGGGGCCTTGTAGAAAGACGCGACCGTTGTTTTTCATTTATCAGCACCCCTCAGTTATAGAGGTAATGGAACATTCACTTATTTTTCATCATCATTCTTTAAAAAGGGAACGTACAAAAATCTAAACTTTGGCAATAATTTCTTTTTATAATAGTTTACGGTAGGCTTTAATTGAATGCCACACTCCTCTGAGACCCCTAAGTTATGGCGTGATTAACCAAATTTGATTTCCAACAGTCATTTACGACCATAACTATTGCATAGAGTGCAGGATGCCAGCAAAGATGAGGGTGGGGGCAGATACTGGCTCAGTGATTTAACTCACATTATAGATGACCGCTTCCTCAACAGAAATGCTACTGAGAGAAACAGAAAGGCCTGGCCCAGGCAGGTCTTATTCGAGAGGAGATTATTTGATAATTGCTTTGGTTAGAAGGACTTTACATTTCCTGATTTCAAGTCCAGCACCAATTTAGAAAGTTCAGAGATGAAACCACCTGTCTTTATCTGACAGAGTCATAACTGTTTGTGTAAAAATGTGGCCAGGGACCGTTTTTGTTCTTTCTGATTCGTTAATACTGTGCATTGCAACCAGGAGGCAGTTTTGCCAACCAGCCTCTGCTCACGGTCACCATATGTGTATGATAAGGCCTGAGTCAGTTCCTGCATAAACTGGGTAGTGGGCTCTTTTGAGGCATTTTCAAGCATATACATGAATGAATGACACTACCAGCAACCATCTGTACAAGGCCATTTACTCACATTCATAAGGTTTATGCTATGAAACTTCTTCTCATTGTGATGTCAGTAACAGAGTTAGTGTCTCTGATGGAATAGTGTACCTGTCACCCAAGTTATTTTGTTCCTTTTTGGGTCCTCCAGTATAATCCCCACCTCATCCCAATTAACTGTAAAATGTTTTACACATCACATTTTTTATACTGTAAACTTGGAAAATAAATTGAAATATCAAATTGCATCTTGTTTCTTTTCTTCATGTGATTATTTCAATCTAAAAAGTTGCTTACTTTTTCAGGGACATTTTTCACTCTTGCATAATTTTGAGACCTTCAGAATTTCAAGACAACCTGTCATATTTCTATAAAAACCAAGACAATTATGACAGATTGGGAAAGTAGAATTACCATTGTAACAAAAACTACTGGTTGTCAATCATTTTACAGTGAAGAAAATGTTTTGAATAGATAACTAAAAATGAAATCCGCAGGCTCGAAAACATGGAGATGAAACAGATCTTTTGAGTAAACCAGCAAGTAGAAAGGTGTTCGAGCCAAATAAGAAGAGAGAAAAGTAACAGACCTTGGGTTGATGTGGGAGGTGAATATTGGATTAGTTTTCTGATTATTGGCTTGGGAATTCAAGTTAAATTATCAATTGATTTTAGATAGGTCTATTTAAAGGAAATTTGATTATTTGCAAAGAAATATGAAGCTTGTTTTCTGCTAAACTCAACAGTAGAATTTTGACACCACACAATCAAATTCTTACCTATCTCATGGACAGAAATTAGAGAAATCAATTGACTCGAAGATATTCATTGGATAGATTATTGATAAGCTGTTTTTTGGGGTCATTAAGCAAAATGTGCACAATTTATATCTGCATAAGTAAATGCTGCTAATACACCTTGTGCTATCATTTGGATATTTGTTCCCACCAAATCCCATGTTGAAATTTAATCCCCAGTGCGGCAGTGTTAGGAGGTAGGGTCTAAAGGGAGTGATTTAAGAACTTGGGTCATGGGATGGAGCCTCCATGAAGAGATGAATGTCCTCTCTGGAGGAAGTGCGGTGTGAGTGGGTCGCTCTGTTAGTTCCCTGGAGAGCTGGTTGTTAGAAAGAGGCTGGCACCTCCTCTCTCATGCCTCCTCTCTCACCATGTGATCTCTGCACACACTGGTTTTCCTTTACCTTCTGCCATGAATGGAAGCAGCCAAGGCTTTCACCTGATGCCCAGTCTTGCAGCCAGCAGAATTGTGAGCCAAGTATATATTTTTCTTCATAAATAACCCACTCTTAGTTATTCCTTTGTATCCATAAAAACAGACTAAGATACCTTGAAAGCTCTGTTACCCAATAGTGCTGGGGAATTATAGGTATTCTGGTTAACCAGTTATTCATCCACCAACTCAATAAATGAGTATCTACTTTGTGATGGGCAAAGTGCTAAGTGCTAGGGATTCTAAGATAAGTTCCTTGCCTCTAAAGAGCCTGCAATTTAGTGAAAGGACAAACATGCAAATATATGTTATACCTTAAATGATAAGTGACATGATCCAGGGATGCACAAAGCACAGAGGGGAAGGGGCACCTTCAGGTCACCTAGACAATTGGATAAATGGTGCTATCACCCACCCAAACTAGGACTCCATGAAGAGGAGAAGGAGATGCTTAGGGGAGAAGGCAATGAGTTCAGGTTTTATTGTGTTGAGTCTGAAGTGCTTGTACAACATGAAGTCAAGATGTCCAGAGGCAGTTGAATGAATGTGTCTAAAAATAAGGCGAGGAGTCATGGTTAGAGACTCATATTTGGAGGTAATTAGCACATGGATAGCATTGATGGGCATGATGACATCGTTTTGGAAGAGTGTGCAGAGTGGAGATGCTATGAAACACCATCATTTAAAGAGCAGGCAGAGGAAGAGGGGCTGGAAAGGAAAATAGAGAAGAAATAAGGAGGTAGGACTGGAGCCAGATGAGAATGAGGAGAGTCAGAAAAATCAAGATAGGATTTTCAACATTGTCTGAATATTTTCAAAATATGAGTTTAATGACAGAATTAGTTAGCTAGTATTCCACAAAAACTATTGCTCTATTTTCAAAAAATCTGTACAGTGTCTTAGACATGTGCTAAAAGATTGAGAAAATAAATTAGAAAATTATACTGCACACTTAACACTAAAACTACCAAGCACAATATAACTTTTAGACAGCTCAGAAGGCACTTTGGAATTTTTTTTCAGTGCCTCAGGGCATCAGTATGAACTCCAATTATTGTTGCCCTGGCCAACTGTGAGAGTACTGATAACTGGAGAGTTAATTGACTGCTGGATAAAGCAATCTTTAATCCAAATGGGAAGGCTCACTAGCAGCTACAGAGAAGGGGTATTCAGATCCCAGCTTAGGCTAGGAAGCTAGCTGACCCAGTCAGAGACATGAACCCATCAGAAAAATGTAAGACCTTTCATCTTTCTAGTTTTCCCCCACCCTCCACTCCTGCTGATGAATATGTGAGACTTACCAACTAGAGGGAAGTTTAGAGAGCAAATCCACCTCCCATCCCAGTTTCCTAATACACTAGAAATGATGGTGACACCTGTACACATTTCAAGACCTCTCCACAGCCATCCAAAGGCTTGAATATCCATAACAATATGAATGACCATCACTTGAAATAAGTTTAACAGAGCCATGAGAATATGATTTATAAGTTTGCTTCCAAGGCTAGCCTTCCCTAAGAAGGATCGTCTTGGCTGGAGGAGGGATTCCAACTCATGTTCGAGGTATGGAGGGAACTAAATCATTAATCATGTGTCTTCCCTGGGCTCTGACTATAAGGTCACTCTATGCCTGTGAGTTAGAAAGCTGTCAGTTCTGTTACTGTCATAATCAAAGACAACATAAACTAGTGTTAAGGGATTGTTCACCCTAGACTGCCATGTTCAGGCACTGCCGTGACCCTTGATGGTCCAGCAAAGAACAAGACCTGTTCCATGACAGTCAAGACAGTCAACATGGGGATAATTTTCCTCCTGTCTCTGCTAAGTGGGATTGCTGCATTTGAAAAGGCATTTGCTGAATGATACTGCTCCTGATGCAAAGGGAGTGGGAAAAGAGATCATGGAAAAGGGAAAGGAGTTGGCTGGGTGTGGGGCAGAATTGCTTGCTGCCACCTTGTGCTGTCTGTATGGTAGTGGGTAGCTGTGATTTTGTTTTTCATCAGAATTGTTTGGAGTTGGGCTATTCATCATCATCATCATCACTGTCATCATTATCCTCATCAGAATTATTATCATCATCATTGTCATCATCTTCATCATCATCTTCGGTGTTTATCTTTCCAGAAAGCACATCCTCAATCCAGTCCTCCAGCTCCTCAGCAGTTGGAAGATCGTCATCATCTGGAATCTCCATCCAGACACTGTCAGCCTGCAGTGAGGGATTAATGAATGAGTGAGTGGGTGCATGAAGGCTGAGCCAGACCAGGGGTAGCTGTGCTGAGTAGCTATGCTGAGTGCCCCCCGACGTTCTCACACTTATTAGGAATGTGCATATTGTTAAATGGAAATGCCAAACAGCAAAACGGTATGTGTAATACACTGTTTGTGTTGCATAAAAGGAAATGTGTATTCCATTACCCAGTGGAATATGTATATGACATTTCTGGTAATATACTCATGCAACAACCACCAGTGGTTCCCTCTAGGAATGAGACTAGGGGTTGGGTCAGGGAAGTAGGAAATACTTTTTACTTTGACCTTCTATTCTGCTGTTCTGTTTTAAAATGTTTTCACTTGAGCATATTTTAAAAGTTATGTATTATTATTAATTTTAAAGTAGCTTACAAAATAAATGAATGTAGAGTTCCCTAGGTGATTGAACACCTACCAATGGGGAGAAAGACATTGCTAACTGGCCCTCATTCTTTTTTTTTTTTTTTTTTTTTTTTTTTTTTTTTTTTTTTTTTTTTTTGAGACGGAGTTTTACTCTTGTTGCCCAGGGTGGAGTGCAATGACGTGATCTCAGCCCACTGCTACCTCTGCCTCCTGCATTCAAGCAATTCTCTTGCCTCAGCCTCTCAAGTAGTTGGGATTACAGGCGCCCATGACCATGCCTGGCTAATTTTTGTATTTTTAGTAGAGATGGGGTTTCACCATGTTGGCCAGCTGGTCTCAAACTCCTGACCTCAGGTGACCCAGCCATCTCGGCCTCCCGGAGTTCTGGGATTACAGGCATGAGCCACCACGCCTGACTTGGCCCCCATTCTTAAGAGATTCTACCTCAATTAAGTATGGCTCTAATAATCCTCTGTGATCATCCCTTTCTGTCCACTATTTGCCTGGTTGTATCTGTCCCCACTTCAGCTTTACGATGGTGGAGTTGTATCAGATGTCTGGACTGAGATCTAAGATTTCCTCGCATTCTGCCAGTGCACCTCACTAGCCTGTCCCACCCTCAGTTCAACGATGCCTGAACTCTGAGGAGAAGCCCCTTACTTGCATATGATTTTCTTCCTTCCCTTCTGCAGGCCTTGTCTCCTGGCTGGGATTCTGGGCCACAATGGCCCCATCACGCATTGTACAATGATGGCCCCTGGTGTGGGTTCCCTTTTATAAAGAGACCTTATTGTTTGTTGTTTGGCTTTGGGGGTAAATACAGGAGAGTTTACTTGGGGGGAAAGTTCCAAATCAGTGATTCAGGAAAGGCTGGCCCCATAGGCAAGAAAACATGTCCATGGAAGGGAGCCATGTAACCACAGATTGGAACTGGCTTGGAGACCAGGTGTGGAACACACTGGCAAGTTTCCTTGAACAGGACCCCCACCCTCTTCTGAAGAGGCTGGACTCCTGTAGATGCTCTCACAATCTAGGCTGTGTAGCAGAACACAGGGCAGGCCAAGGGTGCCTGAGCAAGCCTTCATAGGGGATACTCACATCTGTGACATTCACCACTCCAATCTGTGGCCTGAATAGGTCAATCTTGAAAGTCTTCTCCCAATAGGCAACGAGCTGCAGCAACAAAAATTAAGATTAGACAGCAGGCAGAGGGCATTCTCTGTTAAGGACCCACCCACTGTCCCATCGCAGTAACTAGGTCACCATTGGTTAAAGGTCTTCAAAACAGCTGTGGGCACTTAGCAAATTGAAGACTTGGCCCCAGCCTTCAAGCACTTCAAATAAGCATTAAATAAAAGATGACATAGCATAAATTATGGAAACATGTGTCTACAACTGTAAGAGAGAAAATTATAGAGGTGGTCTAATGTTGCTTTCCAAATTACTTGTGGCTGTTTTATAGTTTGTAGAGCCATTTCCCTCCACCTCTTTTTTAATGTCCCATTTTAAAAAATACCTTATCTTGTGCTACATGAGATAGCTGGGAAAGCCATGATGGGTCATAAGTTGCCAAGTAAGAAGAAGGCTTCTTCATTCAACCAGGCTTGGACTCCATGTGGACAAATCTCAGACTGGGGCAAAAATAAAGGAGGGACCACAGGATTTTTTTTTTTAATGGAGATGCTCAGTGGTAGAAAGTCTCCCATGCAAATATATGGCCTAGTGGGGACTAGGGATAATCAGGAATCTGGAAATCAGAATAGTCTGAAGATTTCTTCTTTGCAAAAACCAAGGCAAACACATAGAACTGGCCAGAAGAGAGGCTGGGTGCGGTGGCTCACGCCTGTAGTCCCAGCACTTTGGGACTGGAGTCCAGGAGTTTGAAACCAGCCTGAGCAACATAGTGAGACCTTGTCTCTACAAGAAATTTTAAAAATTAGCTGGGCGTGGTGGCACACACCTATAGTCCCAACTGCTCAGGAGGTTGAGGCAGGAGGATTGCTTGAGCCTGGGAGCTTAAGGCTGCAGTAAGTTGAGATTATGCCACTGCACTCCAGCCTGGGTGACAGAGTAAGACCCTGTCTAAAAAAAAAAAAAAAAAAAAAAAACTGGCCAGGAAAACTGCAAACCATCTACAAGCTTGTATAACAAAATAGTCACATAAACTAGAAACACAACCAGGCAGAAGCTATATCACCAAAGCTGTACTGTATGCAGTCTTATATGGCCATGACTTTGTTATAATTACCCAGTGCTATGACAATGGTCTCAAGTGTCACGGAAGCCTCTGCCTTTGATTCACCCCCCTCCTCTACATAGGGCTGATTTTCAGGACCCTTGAGATGCCTCTCAATTTTCTCTATTTAATCACAGTATCATCAGTCATGACCTATGCAACTAATGATAATTCCTGGAAGATAAAGTCACCATTCATAACCTAATGATAACTAAACTTGTACTGATTACCACAATAAGCTTTTACCTAAAGCAGTAGGTAGACCAAGCTTTAGCATCATGTAGACCTAGATTGGAATATCACATCGATCACTCACTAGCTTTAACCTTCCCAGCTATCATTCTCTCCACCTTGTGACAGGGATTATAATAGTACCTACTTCATAGCGTTGTTGAGAGGATTGCTGTGATGAGGCATGTAAAGCATTACTATAGTTCCATGCATACAGTAGAGTATATCAGCTATGCTTATTGTCAGTACCAGTACTTATTATCAGTACCAGAACCAGTACCAGGGTTCAATTCATGTAGTGTACAAATTCTGTTTATTCTTTTTAAAAACACATAAGTATAATCAAAGCTTTCGGGCCACTGATCATGGACACTAGCAAAAGTGTGGACTTTAAGGTTCTTTCACATTCATCGTAGGCTAGACACTATGCTAGGTCCTGGGGAGAACACGATGAACATGACAGGCGTAGGCTCTCTTTCTCTCCACAAAGTTCTGAACTCACTGAAAAATGTTCATCTCTGATTTTAATTACTTGGTAATTCAGGTGGCCTCAGAACGATGGTCCCCACCCAGAAAGTAAAAGTAGTTCTGGGGACAGGGAGTGCAGTGATAAGGAGTTTACCCTGCCCACTTGGGTGGGTCCCCGAGGGTCAAGGGTTTTCAACTCCTGGTTTCAACTCCAGGGAGTAAGCCTCATCCTTTCAGGGTCAGCACCAGGCCCCAAGTTCAATACTGCCCCAAGCGCCAAGACCTCCCACATTGGATGGGGGCTGTCACTGGGTTTCTTCAAGTGCCCCCGCCTATTTCACCTCCTTGGATGCTAAACGCAATCATGAGGCTGTGACAGCAACTGAGGGTGGGGCGCTGGCCGGAGCCACTCACCAGAGGAAAGTCGTCGGGGTCGATCCACAGGATGCTCAGGTCGGGGTTGTCGGTATTGTCCCGGGCAACCTGTTTCAGGATCTCCAGGAATTCGTAGCCATCTGAAGCAGGATTCAAGAGAGTTGAGTAACCCCTGCACACACACAGCTTCTAACGTGGAGAGCAGAGTGCGGTTTTTCCACGAGGACTTCTTAGGCCATTTGGTGCTTACCCTCAATTATAGGATTATTCTATAGAATGAGTCAGATGAGAGCTCCAGGCACAAAGCAGCTTATACAAAGGAAACAATAAAAAATTTGAACAAAGGATTAAAGGTTCACAGAGAACTGGCTGGTTTTTCACTGGAAGCCAAACTTCATTTGTGAAAACTGCCCAGCCTTGGGTCAGAAAGTCAGTCCCAGAACAGAGAAACTCCTGCCTGTCCTCACTGATCCTGTGCCATCTCTTGAAACAGATACTTTGCTGTCCCTTAGAGTCCCAATAACATCTGCTGTATGGACCAAGAATGTTTAAGCCTGGACCCTTAGTTTTCTACAACCAGGAATTGCTAAAACCTTCAAACCAAAGGAGCTTCTGATTTACAGTTGGTTTCACAGCTCTGAGATAGTAAATGCGGCTTCCCTCCCTCCCTCCCTCCCTCCGTATTTCCTTGTATACTGGGCCCTCCCTCTGTTCAGTCAGCAGCAGTCATTGCCCTAGGGGCGGGATGATTCATAAGAAAAACAGAGAGAAGTTTTATAAGTTTCAAGAACACAAACTTCTTAGCTTTAAAAGCCTAAACCTTGAAGGACTGGGAGCATACAACTTTTGCCATAAACAAAAATTATAGGAGAATGTTTAGTAAGAGATAGCATACTCTCAACCCTCAGCACCACTCCCTAGCCCCCGGCTAGAAACTGAAAAAATGGTTTAGATTCTGGAAGGCCCCTGAGAATACTAAACTGCGCCTGTGTGTGTGTGCATGCGTGTGTGTGCGTGTGCATGTGTGCGCATGCGTGTGTGTGTGCGTGCGTGCGTGTGTGCGTGTGCATGTGCAGAAACACAAGCCATGTGTGCATGTGTGTCCATGTACAGAATCTCCATTGTTTTCGGGAATCCCAGGGTATAGAAGACCCATGATTTGTTTCAGAATTAAACTTAGGCAAATGAAAAGATCCCAGAATCCCTTAGACAACCCCCAGTACAGGAGCACTAGGGCAGAAAAGCCTGTCGAAAGGCCCCATGGAGTTGTCTTGTCATTCTGAGGAACTTGGAGAGATGACGATGACCCCTACCAGATGTACACCCCACTCAGCTATGCCTGGGAACCAGAGAGACCCTGGGTCCCTCGGGATGGTGGAATTGGGGTGGAGGACCATTGATTATCAGCCCCAGCTTCCACCACTCAGTGGTATACACTCAAAATTGAAATTTAGGTTCAGTTCTAAATAATAAAGTTACAGTTCTTGCATAGCTGAATTTGTGGCTTGAAATTTATACCTTGAATATAAGTAACTCACCAGCTACTTGGGAATTCAATTAACTGTGTTTTCTTTGCAAAGTTTTTTTCTTTTGCCTGGAATCTCAGCAAACTTGAGCTCCTCCCTATGGCCTCTGTTTAGCAAGCCTCTCCTCTCTCCAGGAATGCTAGCTTTTGTTTGGCTCTTTTGGACTCTTGGTAAAAGTTTTTTTCTACACTTCCTTATCTCTAATGCATTCCAGGCAAAACGCATGCTATTCTTAGCAACTCTACTTTGAGTTTTTGAGTTGGTGTAGTCACTGTTGCTAGCTCACACTGAAGATTCAGGCTGAGCCCCCTTAGGCCTTATTACGTGGGAAGCACAGCGACCTCTAGTGGAGAAGTTCCTCTTTTTTGGGGGGGGGGGGCGGGAAGGGGGGTCTCTGTTGCCCAGGCTGGAGTCCGTGGTGGGATCATAGCTCACTGCAGCCTCGACCTCCCAGGCTCAAATGATCCTCCTGTGTCAGCCTCACAAGTAGCTAAAACTACAGATGCGTGCCATTATGCCCAGCTAGTTTTTAAATTTTTATTGTTTTATTTTGTAGAGACAGGGATCTCACATTGTTGCCCAGGTTGGTTTTGAACTCCTGGGCTGAAGTGATCCTGCCTCAGCTTTCCAAAGTGCAGGATTACAGACTTGAGTCACTGTGTCAGGCCTAGAAGGGGTCGTTATGGCTGGTGTCCACTTCTTGCAGAGATACAGAGTGGACTTGGGTGATCTTTTAATCTGTGCTCATAACCACATTGCAAATGAGATTATGACAGACACCGGAGACTGACAGGGCCCTAAGCATTAGAGTTCATTTATCTGTAATTGCGGGACTGGGGGCAAGGTGGGGTAGGGGCATTACTACTGTTGCCTGTAGGTGGAACTGAGAAGGGCCGGCCCCTCCAGTGTATCACTGGCTGCCAGGTGTGGACACTATGGGTTCTCCTTTGGCCATGTGACTGTCACAGGAGAGGGAAATATGGTGCCACCTTGGTTATCTGTAGAGATAGGAATCATAATACAAAGACCACAAGGAGGAATTCCTCCAAAACAACTTCAGTTACTGTTTTTAGCTGCAGAAAATAAAGAAATGATAATCAATGAGGTGACACTGCCTGTACTTTGGAAGATGAGAGAGAGTCAAACGTAAAAGGGACATGACAAATCTGAAATTCACAGAGGATGAAATGCAACAACACAGACTCAAATGAAAGTAGAAAGCAAACCTGTGGTGCAAGAGACTGATTCACATAAAGGAAAGGAGAGTCTAGGTAGGCACGAGTGTTGTGGAGGGACAGGATCTGTGACCCAGAACTATAAGCTGAATACACAACGGAGCGCTGTTGTTTTCTTATGGGAAAAACTCTCTTAACATTGGGATTCATCAAAAGGAATGTGGTATACAAGAACATACCTACTACATTCCTATTTGACATTCTAGAGCAGGTTAAGAGACGAAAAGAAAACCTGAACTGTGCAAGAAAAATCAAGTGGATTGTAGTATTTATGTAAATGAGCAAAGTCAAAAGTGTGGCTTAAAGCCCATTTTCAAGAAAATAAAAAGGTTTTTGTAAGGAGAATATTCTTTGTGTCTATGGAGAAGCAAAGAAATCTCAAAAACCATTCCCAGAATAAATTAATAAATAAGGTTGACATTAAAGCTGAAAAAGTTTCCTCTAGATCCAAGGGCAGGTTTCTGATGTTCAGGGTGATGAACTCTGTAATGGACAATGTCTGTGTCCCCGAATACTTTTAATGACAGAACAGAGCCCATTCTTCAGGGAGTCAACCCAGCATAGCCCTTAAACACACAGACTCTGGGGCCAAATGATCTTGGCCAAGGTCCTGAATGTACCCTTAGAGTGTGACTTAAAGCAAGTTATTTAATGTTTGTCTCCTCGTCTGTAAAACAGGGATGATGACAATGATAGCATCTACTTCACTGGGTAGTTGTGAGTTAAATGAATCAGTTTCTCTGCAGCACTTGGACAGTGCCTGGCATAGAATTTTAGCCATTATTTTACTTAAATTACCTGACATGCTATATTCAAAGGCAAGGATGCTGGCTGGAACTCCCTAAGCCTGGCCATTCCTCTGTTCATTTACCACATCGGTATTAAATTCAGTGATCTGGGCACCGGGAGTGGGGTGGAGGCAGTCTTGGACCCACGTGGTAGAGAACATGCCCACAGAAAACTACATCACAAGACAGTACAGCGTGGGGCAGTTCCTTCCAGCTCCTGTTGCTGATTCTGTGACCAAAGGCTTCAGGGATGGCTGTGCCAGCTGGTGTGAGTGACTACGAGAACCCTGCCTTGATAACTGGGTCAGGAAAAGGTTTAATTCCTTTGCTTTTAAGGCATTAGCTTGTGTGGATATTCCTGATCAAAGGCTTACAAGCCTCCAGGGCTCTCCCCTCTTCAGACCCCAGCCTTGAGTGCAGACCTGTTAAAATGGATTCTCATTAATCTGTGAAAGTGAGTTAAGGCAGCTAACCTGGTCTCACATGTATTCAGTTGCTAAAATTGTAAGTTACAAGTTCAATTTTTTCCAAGGAGAGCCTCTGTTTCTTTGTAAAACTGGCAGGTCTCCTGGAAAAGAGAAACATTCTCTGTGGATCCTCCCTTTTTGACCAGGAAGGCAGGTGTAGGAAGCTGCGTTTCACTTTAGTAATCCAATGTTAAGCAAGAACTAGTCCACTGTTAAAATTACATGGATGAATGACTGAGTTTAAAATGAGTAAATGTTTCCTTTATCAGTGGTAGACATGGCTTGGAGGCCTTTCAAGACTGTGGTCATGCATGTTTCAGAAGAAATATAGCCCATACTTCAAAAAAGTATATGGAGAAAAAGGGGGAAATACTATTCAGAGATGTGTAAGCTAATAGTTATCTAGACATAGCAAGTAGAGGACTAGTCTCTGCAGTCATCAGAAAAGCATCAGTTCTCAAAATGAGAAGAGACCCCCACAACCCAGACATTCCAAACATCCAGGTAGGTAAATAGCCCCCGCTCAAAACATTTGTCTCTTTTGAATATTTCCGGGAATGAGACCTTTCGACATTGCTAAAGGTTGACTACAGAGTTGATCATTGTGACAGCCAAGAATCTTATCCTTGCATCCAATTGAAATCTCCTTTTATACACATGACGTTTACTCCCCAATTTCTTCCTTTATGGACACTAGACATTGTTCTTTTTTGTTTTGTTTTGAGATGGAGTCTCGCTCTGTTCCCCAGGCTGAAATGCAGTGGTGCAATCACGGCTCACTGCAGTCTTGACTTCCCAGGCTCAAGTGATTCTCCCATCTCAGCCTCCTGAGTAGCTGGGACCAGAGGCACATGTCACCACGCAGTTAATTTTTTAATTATTATTTGTAAAGATGAAGTCTCTCTGTGTTGTCCGGGCTGGTCTTGAATTCCTGGGCTCAAGTGATGCTCCCACCTCAGCCTAACAGAGTGCTGGGATTATAGGCGAAAGCCACTACGCCCAACCAGGACACACGACATTGTTCTCCACATGCAGAAAGTCTATAATCACGCTGCTCCAACCTTTATTTTCTGAGTGTCTATTGAACACGTACTGGGTACTGAGTACTTTCGCATTTGATTTTT